TGTAACTTTTTTTAAAGTTTTTTTTATTTAAAAGTTTTTTTTCATTTTACATACCAACCACAGTTCCTCCTCCCCTTCTCCCACTCTCTCCTCCTTCCCCCAACCCAACACACCCCTCCACTCCTCAGAAAGATTAAAGCCTCCCATGGGGAGTCAACAAAGTCTGGCATATCAAGTTGAGACAGAACCAAGTCCCTCCCCCTTGAATGAAAGCTGAGAAAGATAACCCTCAATAGGGAATAGGCTCCAAAAAGCCAGTTCAAGAATGTGTTACTTTAAGAGACAATTTTACCGTATAAAGCACAATGTTTGTGTTCACTTGGTTTGTCTTTAAGATTTAACAGTATTGGGCTGGAGAGATGGCTCAGTGGGTTAAGAGCACAGGCTACTCTTCCAGAGGTCCTATGTAGGGTTCTTGCCGGTGAACCTGTAATGGTGGCCACACCCCTTTGGGCATGGCTTCGGGTGGCCAGAAGCAGAAAGAAGGAAGCTTGAGGCAAGGCTTCTTTTTGCACAGTCCTTTCTCTTGGGTTAGCCGATCCATTAGGAAGGCCAGAGAAACACTCCTGCGGCTCTTTGCATTTATCTGTGTATGTGTTCCCCAATAAACACCCATTTCTCACTTATCTCTGGTCTAGTGAAATCATTACACCCACACCTTCAGTCCTGAGTTCAGTTCCCAGTACATGGTGGCTCACAATGATCTGATGCCCTCTTCTTATAAAGCTGTACATGCAGATAGAGCGTGCGCGCGCACACACACACACACACACACACACACACACACACACATATATATAAAATCTTTAAAAAAGACTTAACAGTATCTAATACAAAATTAAAGTAACTTACATTAGCCTCTTCCTTCCTACCCACTTCAGAGTAATTAATTATACCTTAAGTTTATAATTATCCTCACCTATATTCCATCCTATTCACCCAACGCTCTACGATGGGGACATCCTTCTGTGTATGTTTATCTTTTGGTTGTTGAATAAAGCACTGTTTGGCCAATGAGGCAGCAAGTTAGGCGGGACTAGGAGTCAAGGAGGATTCTGGGAAATGTAGTAAAGTCTTGTGATACAGTCAGGAAGTGACATAGCAGGCAGACTCAGAATATAAGCAGGGACAGGCAGGAAGTGGCTCTCTTCCCCTCTCTGTGGAGCCGCCATGTGATCCCAGGAAGACAGGAGAATTCTGCCAGAGTCCTCTATAAGATAAGTCTTATAAAATATAAAGATTAGTAGTTATGGTTGATAATTAATACTGAGTTAGCCGGGCGGAGGTGGCGCACGCCTTTAATCCCAGCACTTGGGAGACAGAGGCAGGCGCATCTCTTTGAGTTCGATACTAGCCTGGTCTACAAGAGCTAGTTCAGGACAGTCTCCAAAGCCACAGAAAAACCCTGTCTCGAAAAACCAAAAAAAAAGACTGACTTAGCATATAAGAAATCCTAGTCATTGACCAGCAGCTTTGTAATTAATATAAATCTCTGTATGTTTCTTGGGGCGCCCATGTGGTTGCCGGGCTTCGGCTTGGCGGAAAGATTTATCGTTACACTCTACTTTTCAAAGTGTCATACAGTAAAGTCATTCTTTGTTGTGTGCAAGTCTGTGGATGTTAAACACTTAGAGAATCATATAAAACAGTTCCCTTGAATTCAAACTTCTGGGTTCCCGTCACTGTCAGCCATCCTTATATTCTGACTCTTGGCAATCATCTATTTGTCCCTGTTAATTTTGTCTTTTCCAAAACACTGCATAAATGGAAAGCTGGGTGTGGCTCACACATGCAGCCCCAGCACTCAGAGGATTCAGCACTTAAGAACTTAGTTTTAGCTGGGTGTGGTGGTACATAGCTTTAATTCCAGCACTCGGGAGGCAGAGGCTGGTGGATCTCTGTGAGTTCGAGGCCAGCCTGGTCTCCAAATTGAGTTCCAGGACAACCAGGTCTACACAGACACCCTGTGTAGACGCTAAGGGGATGCAGGTGGAGTGGGGGGAAGAGGAGTTATATTGGGCCAGTTTAGTAAGCCCAACTTTTGTCACTCCAGTCTGATGCTGAAATAATTTAAGTAATTAGCATTCGAGAGACATGGAGACACTGAATAAAGGTTTGATTTCCTTGTATTTTCAAGTAAGTCTCACTAAAAATACTACCCTTTCATTTCAGACAATATCTCGCCATACTCGAGAACTTCTAGGAATCGAAGAGCCGCTGTTCAGCCGCAGCATCAGCCTTCCCTACAGGGACAATATAGGCTTGTTCTTAGAGCAGAAGGGTCACAGTGGGGTCCAGTCTGCCTCCCTGACCTTTTCTGAATTTGTTAAAGCAGCAGGATTGCCGGACTGTGGTCTGGAGATAGACGACATAGAAAAAGATATGTCCTCACTGCTAGACAGCTGCCAGGAAGAAAACGAGGTATTGCTGCAAGATGACCACTTGGGGAAAGAGTGAGGTGCTGTTGGACAAGGAGCAGCAGAGAAAACTATTTCACTCAGCTCGAAAGAGCAAATGAGATTAGTTGAGGCAAGAGGCATGGTCATTTTCCATTTTCTCCTTTTCATGAAAGGTGGAAGTTAGGACTGCTGGCTCCAGTCTTAAGTCTTCCCTGACTCTCAGCATCTTCTCTCTGATAAAGCTAGCAATAGTTAATTTCCAACATAATTTTCAGAATTTGTGTTGAATAAACCTAGTGATAGGATTTATTAGGGAAATTATAATTGGAAAAAAGTCTCAGCAATGTAAAGTCCCTCTAATCCTACAACTAGGCATATGAAGGCAGGAGGATCATGAATCTGAGGCCAGCCTGAGATGTAACAGGTCCCAGGAAGCCACATAAATAAAATGGTTTTAAAAAATCTCTTGCAGGGATTCTGTGATGCTGCTTATAAGAGGGGGTGGGGCTTTGCAGTGATACTGATTTGGAGTCACCCACACCCCTGTATGTTGAACAGCTAGCTGATGATCCCTGGCCTACTGAAGATAGAGGGGATGGAGAGCCGGCTCAGCAGTTCAGAGTGCTGACTATGCCTGTGGAAGGACCCTGGTTTAGTTGCCAGCACCCGGTTACAGCCACCTGAAACTCCACTGCCAAGGGACTCAAAAAAGACCAACTTCTGGTGTCCAATGAGCATCTGACAAATGTGCTCACAAACTCATGCAAGCAAGCACGCTTACACAGTAAACAAGATATTTATTTGTTTACTTATTTATTTGGTTTTTTTTTTTTTTTTGAGACAGGGTTTCTCTGTGTAGCCCTGGCCGTTCTGGAACTCACTCTGTAGACCAGGCTGGCCTCAAACTCAGAGATACACCTGCTTCTGCCTCTCGGGTGCTGAGATTAAAGGAGTGCACCACCACTGCTTACCTAGACTTTTTATTTAAAATGGAGCTTAAAACAGTCCCCAAATATCAGTCAACTTCCAGAGTGTTGTTTTGTTTTGTTTTGTCTCCCCAGTTTACCATCTGACCCAAAGGAAGAAGCAATGGAGCCAGAAACATGAACCAGGTAACTAGTGACATCAGTGAAAGAACGGAAGGCTTGATGGCAGTGAAAATAAGAGCTTCAGGAAGGAAGAACAGAGCCGGGGCCTGAGAAAGCCCTGCATATTCAGAGTGGGAAAGAAGATGAGAACAACCACAGGATTCTGAGTGTCTCTGCAGTCTTCCATTTGTTTACACTGGAGTGGATAAAATAGTACAAGTATATAGACAAGTGACAGAAGAGCCCGAGAAACATCTTCATTGCAGCCTTGCTCAGAGAGAGTCCTTTCTAGACCAGGTGGAAAGAATCAAGGATGTGCACACATTCAAATCAGCCAAGCCAGGTTTAGAACAGACGGGAAAAGCACAAAAGGCTTAATCATGCACTCTGACAGAAAGGGCAACTGAGGAAAATTAATCCTCCACTTTCACATCTGTAAGAAATGACTGAAGAGGGCTGGATAGATGGCTCAGAGGTTAAGAGCACCGGCTGATATTCCAGAGGTTCTGAGTTCAATTCCCAGCACCAACATGGCAGCTCACAACTGTAATTCCAGTTCCAGGGTACCCAGCACACATCCATGGCAAGACACTAATGCACATGAGACAGACAGACAGACAGAGAATCACACACACACACAAACACACACACACACACACACACACACACACACACACACACACAGAGAGAGAGAGAACAATAGGAACCAAAATATTACCACATGGAAGTTTGTGTAAGACATACCCTATGTCTTGGAAGAAACCACGTGACTGAAGGGAAAAAAGACAGCATTTCTACACTTTCTACCATGAAACAAAACGATGCAGGCACCTAGAAGCCATCACATGATATTTGCAGTGCTTGTAACTATAAACACAGAAAGCCTGAATTAGGAAATGCCAGATATTCTCCACGTGGTGACAGAATATCAGAAATGTGTCTAGATGACGGATTAAGGACAGCAAGACAAAGCTACAGCAATGTAGTAACCTGTCGCACAAAGCCTGGCCATGGAGAAAGCTGAAATTCATCTTTACAAGGAGCAGATGTCTGCCAGTGTTCCATCATGCAGTGGTGGGAAGACTCAGAAGACCTATCACTCCCCGGGGATTCATATGATTGTTGGGGGCTGCTCTGACAACCCCACCCCTCCATGAGGGTCCATAGGCATTAATATTTACTGGGGAAGGAGGGACAGTTCCTTCAGTGATATAGCCACAAATAAGCTGTCCATGTTCCATAATTAGCCGCTCACCCATGCTTTTGTAAATAATCCTAATTAAACTTCATTAGTTCACTAAAGAAAAAAAAGAGCTATTTTATTCTTGGATGAGCATGCAACTGGTACACAGCACAGATAAGACTGCTAAAGAACTTGCCAAGCCAGAGACCTCACTTTCAAATAGGCAGGCACAATCATTTACTTACAGGTGAACTATCTGTATCCAAATGGAGAGAAATGGCTTTTTTTTTTATTAAGTGGAAGGAAAGTTCTTGATGACAAGAAATTACCACTTGACACTACCCCCCTAGGTCAGTGGTCCTCAACCTTCCTAATGCTACAACACTTTAATACAGTTCCACATGTGGTGACTCCAGAACCACAAAATTATCTTCATTGCTACTTCAGAACTGTGATTTTGCTACTGTTATGAATCATAATGTAGATATATGTGTTTACTGCACACCTGAATGGAACAAGCTAACATTCGTGCTATGTGTCTGTGTTGATGACAAACCAACTTTCCCCCAACATTGGAGTAGGAAGTTTTATCACAAACTGTCATAAATAAGTAAATAAGCAAATAAAAAGAAAGTATTCTAGAACCATTGAATTTACTTAGTGCATGACTATGTAAAACAACAAAATGTAAATGGTTACTATAAGACCATAGTGATTTCCATGGATTGTGCCCAGTTTTGCACAAAAGCCCCTGAGCATTCCATAAACATGGTTCTACCCAGTGGCAAAGCTGGGAACTTCATTTCTCAGCTTGGTGGGATCACTGCTTTTGTTTTTAGCTCTATTATAATTGACAAAAAAAGTGTAAAGCAAGAAGCAAGTGTACAACATAGAAATAAGATCAATATTTTGCAAATCCTTTTCAAGGATTTAATGTAAGTACCAGATTTGAGTGTGCTTTTTTTGTTTGTATCTGTCTAAGACAGGGTCTCACCACCCATGGCCCAAGACTGGCCAACTTCTGCTGCAGACTCCTGGTACTGGTACTCTGTGTCACTCTGTTTTGTTGTTTGTTTTTGTTTTTGTTTTGAGTTTTTCAAGACAGGCTTTCTCTAGCTGTCCTGGAACTCGATATTTTGGAACCAGGCTGGCCTTGAACTCACCTCTGCCTCCTGAGTTCAGGGATTAAGGGCATGCACCACCACCACCTAGCTTTTTTGTTTGTTTGTTTGTTTGTTTTTTATTGTTAGTGGTGGTGCTGGTTGGTTGTTTGGGGGTTTTTTTTGGGGGGGCGCTTTTGGCCAGGGCATGGTCTCCTATATCCCAGGCTGGCCTCAAATTCACTGTGTAGCCAAGGACAACCTTCAATGTCTGATCCTCCTGCCTCTAAGTGCTGGGATTGAAAGCAGGTGCCACCTCACAAAATTTATGGGGTGCTTATGACTGAACACACAGTTCTGTGCATCCTAGGCTAGCACCCTGACAGCTAAGCTACATCTTTACCAGTAATGTTTTTATGGTTTTATGGATTTAAGTTGTTTAAATGGGAATAGCTTTAAATAGCCATCCTACAATAGTCATATATAACTAAAACAAGCAAGAATTAATCATATTTCAACAAATATTGCTCACCCAACACTTATTTCTCTATCCCCTAAAAAAGTAGGAGAATCAAGCTGTATCATTTTCTAGCTATATATTGTCACAGGGAAAGAAGTTTTCCTGTTTGATTGTCTGATTATGACAAAATTACTTGGATTTAGCAATTAGAAGAGAAATAATTTGTGTTAAAAAGGCTTTCTGGGGGAAGCAGTGTACTAGGTTGTGTCAAAAAGCTAGATACACCCAAGTATATTGATGCATGCAGACCTCTTATTTTCTTCTACACTCGTTATTAGTACATTTCTCAAACACAGTGCTTGGCTCTCTGTCAGCCCTGATTCCTTTGGGTGAAGAACCTGTGGAAGTCTGTGGTGGTTCTTCTTTGACCACGGGGATGCCTAATAATTTGCGGTATAGAAGAGTAAGGTGTTCCTGGAGGATAGGAGTTGTTGAGAGATGCTGGCTGAAGGGAGTCTCCTTGAGTTGCACAACAGTCAGATCAAACCAGGGAAAAGGCCTGAGGGGGAGACAAAGATAGCATTACTTTCTTTCAGTCTGTTTAATACATATAACTTGGGTGTGAAACACCAGACTGAAGGAAGACTCTCTGAACTTAACTATATCACTATAAAAATTTCCAGACAGAAAAAGTGAAGAAGAAAATATATATATATATATATATATATATATATATATATATATGTATATGACATATATATACATATACATATATGTCTTATACATCTATATACATGTATATACATCAGATAGGTAAGCAGACAGACAGATAATACTAGAAGGGGAGGAGGGAAAGGAACAGAATACTTGAAATAATAATGACTGAAATTTTTCCGAAGTTATCATATAGCAAGCCATAGATCCAGGCAAGCTAAGAACACCAATGCCAACAGTAAAATGACAACAAAAACTACACCCATACATATTCTCAAATTATAGGAAATTACAAGAGAAAGCCAAAATTCTAGGAGAAGCCAGAGGAAAACTACTTCATTGTAGAAAGGTTTTACAGGGGTAAAAAACTGTTTTCTCAGAAGCCACGCAAACAGGAAGACAATGGAATAAAATATTAAAACCATCAACCCAGAATTTTGAATCTTTTTTTAGATGTATTTGTTTTGTCTGCATGTGTGGATGTGCACCACACTCGTTCCTTGTGCCAGAAGAGGTCAGAGAAGGCATGAGATCTCCTGTTCCAGATGACTGAGTTACCCTGTGGGGGCTGGGAACCAAACCCAGGTCCTTGCAAGAATAGCAAGTGCTCTTAACCTCTGCGCCATTCCTCCATCCCCAGAAATGTGTATTTTGTAGAATTATCTTTCCAAAGTGAAGGAGAAATAAAAGCTTTATCAAATCAAAGTTTAAGGGATTGTTGTCAGTATATCAATCTTACAAGGAATGTTCACAGTTCTTCAGAAAGAAGTAAAGAAACGTTAGAACCTAGGACCCCTATAATGGAGGGAAGAACATTAAAGAAAGATAGGTGAAAGAATTCATTCTTCCTTCCTCTGCAGAGACCAGACAGACAGCAGTGTGCTCAAAATAATAGCAATGGGGATGTAGCTCCCTTGCTGGAATGTTTGCTCAGCATGACAGAGCCCTGTTTGAATACACAGCATCACATGAACTTGTGTGTTGGCATATTTCTGTAACCACAGCACTAAGAGGTGGAGACAGGGATCAGAAGTTCAAAGCCATTTCCAGCAACATAGTGAGTTTGAGGTCAGCCTGTTATTCATGAGAACATTATATAAAACAAAAGAATGTGCTCAATTATTTATGCATGTCTGTGTGAATCAAATTATGCCAATGATACAAGCACACATGAGGGAGGAATTCAAATTATTCTGATATTATAAAACACTATCTGTAAAGAGGTATGGGGTTATCTAGAATTGGCCTGGGTTAGTTGTAAACATATAGTACAAGGTTGTTGCTTATAAGGTCAATGTACAAAACTCAAATCTCCTTCCTATATACCAGCATTTTGGTCCATTTTATGATGCTTATTTATCCTCCCTGGAAACACCTTCACATTCACAGTTAAAAGAGTGTATTATCATCCTGAGATCGATTTAATCTAACCAATCAGGCTGACAGTCAGTATTACCCATTCCACACAAGAAAGGCATGTTCCATGAGAGAAAAAGTGAGCTAGCTCTGTTACAGATCTGGTCTGGTGGTACATGCCTGTAATCCTGGTAAAGGGAGGCAGAGATGAGAGGTTGTAGGTTCAAGGTCAGCCTGAACCTCCTGAGTTCTGGACCAGATAGGGCCACAGACTGACATTCTGCTCAATTAAATAAATTAAGCAAAGTCTGTCTTATGACTGACACTGTCAAGAGAATTCATATCACAGATTGGAAACTGTTTGAAAAAGACACATTCAATAAGAGACTAATATATGTCTGGCAGTGGTGGTGCATGCCTTTGATCCTGTACTATGGTGGCAGAGGCAGGGGGATCTCTGTGATCTGTCTAAGAAATTAGAGAGACTATTATCTAAAATACAGAACTAATTCTGAAAATTCAACAAGAAGATGAAGAACCCAGTTATTATATGGGCAAAAGACTTTACCAGCCTTTGTTGTTGTTGTTGGTTTGGTTTGGTTTTTCTAGACAGGGTTTTTCTGTGTAGTCACTGGCTATCCTGGCAATCACTCTGCAGACCAGGCTGACCTCAAAAACAGAGATCCATCTGCTTTATGGTTGTTCTCAAATTTTGTTCGTTATACCTGCAGCTGCCATACACACACATGCAGTGCATAGACACACATATAGGCAAAACAAACTTACAAGTGAAAATAAACTTTAAAATTTATTTTTAAGCAATTTGGAAGAAATAAACCAATTAGAGGAGAAAAACACCACAATAGTTTATGGTCTCAAAAGAATAAGATTATTGTGTAAGGAAATGACAGCAGGGTGTGGCATCAAAAGGAATACTCAGACATTTTCAAAGCTTTGAAATTCAAAATATAGTAGACATGAAAATGTGCTACTGAAGTATGTTTTTACAAGGCATTGAAAAAAGCAGAAGTGGGGGTGGGGGAAGTCAAGGATGTTAAGAATAGGAAACATGAAACTGGAAGACCCATCTAAGGGGTCTAAAAATAAAAAAGAATAACAGAGAAAGAGGGGAAGGTAGGAACTTGCAGAGACACAGGTATTTGCATCACAATAATGCATAGAGCTATATATTTATAAACAGAATATGAACTCCTTCTGTACATGTGTTATATTTCACAATATTTTTTTAAAAATTAAATGCATGGGGGGGTGTGGTGGAGCAGGCTGGGGAAATGGCTCAATCAGGTAGGTAAGTGCTTGTCACTCAAGAATGACAACCTTTAGCCAGGCATACTGGCACATGCCTTTAATCCTAGCTAGCACTCAGGAGGCAGAGACTGGTAAACTTCTGTGACGTTCAAGGCCATCCTGGTTTAGGTAGCAAGTTTCAAGACAGGCAAGGAAAAATAGGCGTGGTCTGATAAAAAAATAATATTTTTAAAGGGTAAAAGGGCCCAGCTCCTGGGATTTGGCCAAAGGATCAGTAGTAGCCCAAGAGCATCCTGGCCTAGATGAGAACTTGACTCCAAAAAGCAAAAATACAACAAGATGAGTTAGAAAGCCCTATAGCTCCCAACAGCAAGCCTAACAAGCTGAAGACGATGGAACAGGGCTCCCAAACACTCCAGGAAAATAATTCCCGTTTAGAATCTGCTACTTAATCATGTTCTCAGTAAAAGTGTAGATAAGAGCACAAACATTTTCAAACACAAAGAATCTCCAAAATTACTTCCAATGTACCCTTTCTCAGGAAGGTATTACAGGATACGGGTCACTAAAATTAAAAAATGAACTAAAAGAGATTCAGGAAATGAAACAACAGAGAAGTGAGGGAAATTTCCAAACTGAGAGCATCATCTGTTGGTGACCAGAATATGGGGTGGGGAAGAGAAACTGGGATCAACGATTGTGTCTGCAATCCTGGGGTTCGAGCTTGCAGCACTTGGTGAGGCAGCAGTCTTTAGGTAAAAAGCCCACAGATTTGGGGATGCTTACACACGTTGGGTTTAGAAAGAGATGGTGAATATGTATGTGGTTACCTAGGCATAGCCCCAATGGAGAGTTTTATGCTACCAGAGTAAAAATGGCAACTTGAATTCCCAAACTGGAAAAGATCACCCAGGAACCAGTGTAGACGAAAGAAAAGAGGGCCCAGCGTTGATGCCTCAGAACTCTCAGGTCTGAGGGGAGGACATCAGGAGAGCTATCTATCAAAGGAGAGGAACATCGAGGATCACAAAAGCCAAGAGGAACCACTGCTTGAAAAAGGATGGCGTATCCAGTCATCCAAGAAGAAAAAGAACTCAAGAGTCCAGTGAGTCTAGAAACACAGAAATCACGAGAAATGACAGCAGCAAGCTTTACATATTGGATTAACAAAGACCAGAAAGGGTGACTTTATCGTCACCACGCTATAGAGAAATGACACTCGCATATGGTATTGGTGTCGATGTTTTGCTAAGCAGTAATGTATGTAAGTGTCCTCTAACTAAATTAGTCATCAATATGTTTATCCAGCAGAAACACCTGTCCAAGAATTCAAAGTAAGTGCATGGATATTCTAGCAGCCCACTGGCAGAATTTGAGGCAGAGGAAGGAATTACGCTCTATCACAGGAAGGCAGGGTGACTTGTAACTTGCACAGTGTGTCTAAAAGGCTTCCTGTGTGGCTGCTGTTCCTAAGTGAAGCAGGCAACACTAGCATCCACAGAGTTCAAGCTGGATACAGAAAGCAAAAGTGGTGTTACGCTTTCCATGTTTCTAACACTGTAGTAATGGATATGCATACCTATTACAATACAACAAGTATCTCTATCTGTTGGTGCCCAGATAAAATGACAAAACGGTCTATTAGAGATGACTATCTATGAAATGGGATTTAAAAGACAGGGAGGTTTTGTTGTGTTTTTAGCTGGTTTTTTGTTGTTTTGATTTTTAGAAAAGTATATTATTTGTATCAATTTTAAAAGAGAACACAGGTCAGGGTCAGGCAATGTAGTGGGGCATGCTTGCAATCCTGGAACTTGGAAGATCGAAACAATAGAATCACAGGTTCAAGGCCAGCCTGAGCTATATGGAGACTTTCATAACCAAAGAAAAACCAAAAAAAGCCCACTGAGACGAGGAAAGGAACATGAAAGCGTGTGTGTGAAGCAGATGAAATGGCTTAGCGGGTAAAGGTGCTTGCTGCAAAGGTGTTCACAACCAAGCTTGAGAATCCGAGTTCAATATCAGCACCCACATGGCAAAAGGAGAAAACTGACTTCTACAGGTTTCCCTCTGGTCTCTTCAAGCCCCCGCCTCCAAGAAATGTGTTTGTTTGGTTGGTTGATTGGTTGGTTGGTTGGTTGGTTGGTTGGGGTTTTTTGTTTTATTTTGTTTTTGGTTTCCTGTTTTTCTGAGACAGGGTTTCTCTGTGTAACAGCTCTGGCTGTCCTGGCACTCCCTCTGTAGATCAGGCTGGCCTCAAACTCACAGAGATCCGCCTGCCTCTGTCTCCAGAGTACTGGGATTAAAGGCATGTACCACCACTGCCCGGCCCAGGAAATATTCTTAAAAAGCATCTGTTAATACAAAACAAAACAGAACAAAAAACAAAAACAATAAACCCTGTGGGACAGATTCCAATGACCAGATGTTTGACATCTTACCTTTTATTAAAGAAGTTCCTGACGTAGTTTTTGTTCATGAAGTCTGTTATCTGAAATTTAGGACAAGACTCTTCTTTCTCACAGCTCTCCAAGTGCACGGAGAGAAAGACTTGGTTCAGGAGCTGCAGCACGTGTGAGTAAATTACTTTCTTTGATGTGCAGACATTGATGGCCGCATAAAACAACCCTTCCAGCCATTTGATATTGAGGATTACTCCTCCTAGACATGAAGAAAATTAACAATGAGCATCTGCAAAAAGTAAGTTTCAGGGAACCCAGAAGAAACTCAGAGGAGGACTGTAAGGCCACCTTTTCTCCTAAATTGGTTGGCAATATGGCCAGGAGATGAACACATTGTCTTCCGTGGCTATGAGCCCCATTTGGCCTTTACAACACGTTATGTGTTGATCACACCAAAGGGGAGAAAACAGAACTAAGTCAGACCCTGCTGAAGGCAGAAGAATCTCCACAATGGCCCTTACCCAGAACAGGAACTAGGAAATATTGCAAGACTAGAGGAAACTTTTTTTTTTTACCCAGACATTTCATTCTCCTGGGTTTTTGTTGTTGTTGTCCTGGGTTTTTTTTTTTTTTTTCAGACAGGTTCACATGTAGCTTTAGTGATCCTCGAACTGGTTATATAGCCAAAGAGTCTTGACACCCTGATTTCCGGTCTCCTCCTCTCCGAGGCTGGGATTATAGGCATGTACCACCAAACCCAGCTCATTCTTTGTTCACATAAGCTATATTCCCTGGTTATTTCTAGTCTAGATTTAAGGATCCAAAACTTAGGCTTCTCAGCTCTGCCTAAGAAAGGTTGCTTACCTACCAAGCTCTTTTCATACTGTGGTAGCTTGAATGTAACTATAAACTCATAGAGGGGCAGCACTATAAGGAGGTGTGGTCTTCTTGGAATAGGTGTGGCCTTCTTGGAGGAAGTGTGTCACCGTGGTGACAGGCTTTGAGGTCTCCTATGCTTGAGGTATGCCCATTGACACAGACCACTTCCTGATACCTGTGGGTCAAGATGTTGGACTCCCAGCTCCTTCTCCAGCACCACATCTGCCTGCATGCCACCTTGCCACACCATGATGACAATGGACTGAACCTCTGAAAATGTCAGCTCTGCCACCCCAATTAAATGTTTTTCCTTTATAAGAGTTGCTGTGGTCATGGTGTCTCTTCACAGCAATAGAAACCCTAAGACACATACCAAACTCAAATAACTAAGACTATATCTACTTTGTGCTTTCCCCAACACACACACACACACACACCAGTCATGGAAGGTAATTGTTGAAGAGTTGAGCATTTACCAACACTACTGTAGGGGCAGGTACCCTGAAGAACCACAGGATCTTGGAGAACAGTTGCAATGTCCTTATTTACTCTCCAGATGTTGTCAAAATCCTCAGAAAACTGATATTGGGGCCGCAAGATATTGGTGTAGTTCAGTAGAAGTTTCAACCTGGAAGCCACAAAGACAGGGAGCTCAGTGCCAGATTGGAGTGAATGACTAACCAACCACTGCATTGGCATCCGAGCCAGACAGCAGCCCCTTCCCCTGCACAGCGTGGGTCAGGTAATGTGATGTGGGCCTGGGGCGAACACTAAGGGCACCGATTAATTGGATTGTTCAACCACCCACCTAATAGTTACTGAATGCTGTCATGTGCCTAGCTCTTGGCTCGATGCAAGAGTACAAAAAAAAAAAAAAATGCCTGACATGTACTTTTTTTTTAGCAGCTTTACATGTTGTCTGCTGTTTTCTCATTAACACGGAGTGGGAAGCGAGTACTTGGGAAACAATATGCCATTAACTTTTTTTTTCTAATTTTTAAAAATTAATTTATTTTTAACATTCTAGCCATTAATGTTTTAAACAGGAAAAACATCCCAATCCTAAGTGGTGTTTATGTAAAAACCAGTCTTTCTGCAGGTCACTGCCTCCTTACTGAGGATGGATGACTGACTCCAGGAGGTAGGGCTATGGTGGTGGCAGGCAGGGAATAGGAGGAGCATCAGCGACCACGCCCTTCTGTTCTCATTCTGACGAGATACCTGGGTACCGGAATGGCGGCCACAAAGCTGTACACGATGCAGGGCTTCTCAAGTTTGGATTGGATCTCTAAGCAGATGTTAGGCAGCTGAGCTGGCAAGCAGCAGAGGAACAACACTTTGGCCCAGCTCGCCAAAGAACGATTGTCGTAGTAGCACCGGACCCCTAGTTTCTGGAACTCGACTGCGATGATGGAGAAAGGAAGGGAGAGAAGGCACAATGCAGAGAAATTTTACCTGAACATAAGCTGCAGGGAGAGAATGGTAGAAACTGTGTCTCTGTAAGCAGCCTATGTCACGTTGCCACAGAAACCAGAAGCTGTTCCTGGATGCCTCTGTGAGCTACCCAAAGGCGGCCCCGCCCCTTTAAGAGGCTGGTGCAGCTAGCAGAGCTTGCAGTTGTGGCATGATTCCTTCTAAGATTGACTTTAGAAAAATCACTAGGTGTTTTAATTTTTTTTTTTTAAGCTAGGGAAAATATCTCTAAGAGGCATTCTGCTTCGATTATCCTGTAAGAATTAGCCCTTGCTGGATAATGTATAAAGCGCTTTCTGCATCTTCTTTTTTTTTTTTAATTTGTTTTGTTTTTGTTTCTGTTTTTCCAGACAGGGTTTCTCTGTGTAGCTTTGGAGCTAGCCCCATAACTCGCTTTGTAGAGATGGCTGGCCTTGAACTCTCCTTTGTAGAGATCCGCCTGCCTCTGCCTGGGAGTGCTGGGATTAAAGGCTGTGCCACCGCCACCCTACACTTTCTGTGTATTCTTTAAGGCAGCTCCCACGAGTATCCGGAGACCAATGAGGATGAGCAAACTGAGGATGTTATGTGACTCACTGAGACAGTTCGCTGGCTTGAGTTAGTGGGTAAAAGTAGAAGCGTGATAGCCATGCCATTGTGAACATACTGTATTGTGTATCATAATTGTGCATGACTTTATTTATGAGCTAAATAAATGAATGAAAAAAAAGTAGAAGCATAAGAGAACGAACAACAGAAACTGGGAGGAATTGTGGGAAGTGTAACAGTTTTTGTAAGGTATACAAGACGATACAAAGATATCATAAATGTAGAGGGCAAGTGACTGCGTTATGCGGTAACTCATACTTTCGCATTAAACACACGGGTACTAAGTTATTTAATTATCCTTACTGCAACATGGATTTCTGAAAGTAAGAATTTAAAATGGATACTTGCATCTGGTATGCTTTTTAAGTGTTACTGAAAAACAGAATGTAAAAGATGTTGGGAGAGGTAAGCACTCAACCCAATGACCAAAAAATGTTAAAAGTGATGCTGGGCGGGGCAGTGGTGGCACACACCTTTAACCCCAGCACTGGGGAGGCAGAGGCAGAGGCAGGCAGATCTCTGTGAGTTCGAGGCCAACCTGGTCGTCAGAGCTAGTTCCAGGACAGCCAAGATTATACAGAGAAACCCTGTCTTAACAAACAAAAAGAAAAGAAGAGAAAAATATGGGTGATTATTCTTCCTTCAAGAGTAATTTTCCTACTACTTTGCACTGCTCATTTGTGTTTTATTGCCATGTAATTTACATCGTACCACACAGAATTCTGAAGTATACAGTTTGAACAGTTTTGGTAAGAGCATACATCTATATAGCCCACATTTCCCTCCAGACCAGTGGTTCTCAACCTTCCTAATTCTGCAACCTTTTCACACAGTTCCTCATGTTGAGGTGACCCCACCAACCATAAAATTATTCTCGTTGCTACTTCATATCTATAATTTTGCTACTCTTACAAATCATAATGTAAATAAATATGCTTTCCAATGGTCTTAGGCAACCCCTGTGAAAAGTTTCAGCAGTATGTTAGCCTAAGGGGTCATGACCCACAGGTTGAGAACTGCTGCTCTAGGTATAAAACATTTCCCTCTCCCCAGAAAGTTCTTACAGGTACTTTTTCAGTCCATTTCCTCAGAAACAATCACTGCTCTTATTTCTATCACAGTGATCGATTCTGGAATCATATTTTTATACTCAAGATGTCATTTTTTTAAATATAAGGTCAAATACAAATACTTGTTGGCTTTTTTTTCCAGATTCTAATATCCCAGTTAGATTTGAATACTATATGGAAAACTCCCCCCGTATTTCATACCCAGAAAGATAATATGCACCAAGGGCACAGGGAGGAGAGACAGATATAAATGAGTGGAGAAATGTTATCTTAATCAACAAGCTCAAAGTTTAGGACCATCAAGTAGGAAACCCTAACCCTTAAAGGAACCTTTCAGAACAGCTTTGTGAATGCTACCAGCCCCACACCTACTGTCTTATCACTCACTGCTCCTCACCCAAGGACTCGGGCCTCCGAGTGGAGATCTGCAGGTTCTCAGCAGGGATGGGCACAATTTTCAGCAGTACTTTAGCCAGCTGCCTCCCAAGGTGGCCACACCCAATGATGCCCACCTTTAACGTCCCATCCTCACCATCGGCGGCATCAAATGATACAGCCCGAGGCTGTATTGTTCGGCGACTCTGATGTAACAGTTCTCTGGAGAATGAATAAACACACACACAAACCCATGTACAAACTGTAGTTTTCCCCTGGAGTCTCCAAGGTTGATTTTTTTTTTCTAATGTAATACATCAGAAACAAGGCATTTCAACTGGAGGCCATTTTTACAGCCTTACTAGGGAATAAAACCTTCAACCTGAAAAACACACATTCCTTTTCCAAGGGACTGAAACTGGATGAATATATTGCTGAATGAAAATATTTTTGTTATATTTTCCTGGGCCCATTAAACACGAGGTCTGTATCTCTCATGTTTTATTAACTTTGAACATCTCTATGAGTTTATATATCATATGGTGATGTGTAGCAAACTCTTTTAACTTTTTGGTCCATTTTCTGGACAGACAGCTGTCAACTAGAATGTATCATCACCATCTTAAGCACACAGCATGTTTGGATCTAAGCATGTTGCTATGCAACCGAAAATCTAGACCCTTTGCATCCTTGCAAAACAGAAACTTTATATTCCTGAACAGCTCACTTCCCATGCCCACATCTGGGAATTACCATTTTACTTGCTGTTTGATTTCTAGCCAGAAAAAAAAAAAGAGCTTTAAAACAAAACAAAACAAAACAAAACAAAACTATACCATGGAAACAGAATCATGCAGCATTATCATTTTGCATTTAGGATCATGTCCTCAAGCCTCATCTAATTCATAGCTTACAAAGTTTCCTTCTTGAGGCCGAATAGTAATATTTCACTATATGTATATAATGTGATTTGTTTTGGTTTTGTTTTGGAAAGAGTCTCATGTAGCCCAGGCTGGATGTAAATTCCTGCTCTCCCTGCCTCTGCTTTCTGAGTGTAGAGGTTACAGCAGTGAGCCACCACTCTTGACAAACTTAACATAGTTTGTTTATCCATTACATATCATTATATTGTCTTGTTACTGTGATGACTGACAAAAATATCTTAAGGGTTGGCTTAACTATTTTTCTATTGCTTTGGTAAAATGCCATGACCAAGGCAATTTATGTAAAAGAAAGGATTTAGTTTGAGGCTCATGGTTCCAAAGAGTTTGAATCCATGACCATCACGGTGAGGAGCATGGCAACAGCAGACAAGCAGGCACTGGAGCAGTAACTGAGAGCTTACATCCTGATCCACAGGTAAGAGGCAAAGAGAGCTAATTAGGACTAGCTTGAGTCTTTTGAAACCTCCAAGCCCACTCCCCGTGACACATTTCCTCCAACAAGGTCACACCTCCTTACCCCTCTCAAACAGTTCCACCAACTGGCGATCCAAGTATTCAAACATATGAGCTTATGGGAACCATTCTCATTCAAACCACAAGGGTTTTTTTTTTCTCATAGCTGGGGGTATGAGAAACTGGGGGTGAAGAACTTACGGTGGCAGGAACTTGCAGAGATGGTTATATTGTATCTACAGTCAGTAATCAGTGATGAATGCTGGTACTCACCTCACTGTCTTCTTTTTATTCAATCTAGGACCCAACCCATGGAATGCTGCCACTCACAGTTAAATTGAGTCTTTCCACCACAGTTGACCTAATCTAGATAATCTAGATGATTCTTGGTCCCGTCCAGTCGACATTAACCATCACACACATCCATCATCAATGGACATTTAAATTGCTTCCACATCTTGGATACCTTAAATGAGGCTGTGATTAACATGGGAATATGAAAATCTCTGGGAATTCTTAGGGTGTATATCCAGAAATGGGGTTGCTTTGATCTTATGCAATTTTTATGTTTTACTTTCATAGTAACTATACTTCTTACACCCTTACCAACATTGGACAAATGTTCCAATTTCTCTACATCCTCACCAAAACTTGTTCACTTGTGGTTGTTCCAATATGGTTGTTCTAGCAGGTGTGAAGGAATATCATATTGTAGTTGTGATTTGCATTTTCCTGATGGTTGTCAATGTTGAGCATCCTTTTAGATACCTGTTGGATTTCTATAGATTCTTTGAAGAGATCTTAGATTAAAAATCAGGTTGTTGAGTTTATTACTGAGTTGCAGGTCTTTATAGATATACTGGATTTTTATTTTATCTATCTATCTATCTTGTTTCTTTTCAAGACAGGGTTTCTCTATGTAACCTTGGCTGTCCTGGAAATTTCTCTGTAGACCAGGGTGGCCTTGAACTGGATTTTTATTTTATTTATCTATCTATCTCGTTTCTTTTCAAGACAGGGTTTCTCTATGTAGCCTTGGCTGTCCTGGAAATTTCTCTGTAGACCAGGGTGGCCTTGAACTGGATTTTTATTTTATTTATCTATCTATCTCGTTTCTTTTCAAGACAGGGTTTCTCTATATAGCCTTGGCTGTCCTGGAAATTTCTCTGTAGACAAGGGTGGCCTTGAACCCACAGAGATCCACCTACCTCTGCCTCCTGAGTGGGAATTTTTGATGTTTTCTGTTGGCTTAGTGGCTGCACATGAATCTACTGATATTTTAATTATTGTCTGTGGTTGCACAGCCCTTCAGTCAGTACCCTGATGGCCAACCAGGCCATGCCTGTTTGTGGGTTTAAACTAAGTCTGTATTTAATTTATTGTTTCTATTATTATTATTTCTATTTGTTATTTCTATTTAATAACAAAGACTAAAAAGTTAGATGAAGGGGTGAAAACCTGCTACATCAGAGAAGCCATGAAGCAACTCATCCCAAAACCAAAAGAAGCCTCGAACACTAGACCCACCCTTTCCTTCCTTTTCATATATATTCTCTATCCCAATTCCTGACTTGCTATGGCTAATTCCAATCAGCTAGCCACTGGCTCTGCCCCCTTCAATGTTAAGTTTATTAACATTCTAGGAATGTCACAGTGCAATCAAATACCCCACAACAATTTTGATTTTTTAAAGAAAGGGTCTCAAGTAGTCTGGGCTGGCCTGGAACTTGTATGTAGCTGAAGATGAACTTGAACACCTGATTCTCCTGAAGCTTGGATGACAAGTGGACGACACACCTGGTGTGTGCAATGCTAGAGATTAAACTGATGCATTTTGCATGCTAGGCAAGCACTTTAGCAAACTGAGCTACATCCCCAGGCATACAATGGATATTTACACCTCATCAGAAACATGGTTCTCAAACATTTTCTCCTTTTCTAGCTGTCAGTTCCTTTGCTATGCAGATGCTTTTTCTCTGTTCCTTTGATATATATATATGGATGCTTTTAAGTTTGAAACAATCCTATTTGTTTATCTTTGCTTCCACTGCCTGTGTTTTTGTAGTGTCCTATCTATCAACTCATGTCTTTACTACTGAGATGTGTGTCTTTTAGTATAGCAGTATTTGCTTCACACAACTGGATGTTCTGATGTTAGGGCACGTATCTTCATGGGAGTTGATCTTTTATCATCATAACAATTCCATTCTTTGTCCCTTATGAGTTTTTTTTATTTAAAATCTTATCTGATGTATCAGTGTTTGCTTCAACATGATGGAAGCTACATTGTGTATAAGTTGATTTTTTTCTTTTTTCCCTTGATTTCAATACTATTTATACTTGGCAGTTTGACTATAATGTTTTTCTCCACTTTCCTTTTTTTCTTTTTGTTCTTATAATTCTTTCAACTGACCCATCTTTTGAGTTCACTGATTCCATCTGCTGGGCCACACCTGATGCAGAATTCCTCCAGTGAATTCTTTCATTTCAGTTATTGTTTTCAAGAACCTGGTTGGTTTAATAGTTTCTCTGTGTCAATATTCTTACTTGTGCAGGTACCATATTCCTGATTTCCTCCAGTTGCTCCTGTCGTGCACTATTAATAGGCCATTCTCAGAAGAAAGAACTGCCTCTATTTGAAGCAATAGACAAGGGGTGACTGGCCATTAGTTCTGTGGCAGGCAAGCTGGTAGTACTCGTGAGTAAATGGGATAAATCAGCCACACTCTGACTAGGAATCACCACTAATCCAAGCTTTACTATGTACACACCAAACATCCTTGAATGAATTCTGCTAGTCGTTCCAGACCAGAAGTGATGGAATATGGATTGGAAAGTTAGAAAAACAATTTTCCCACCAAATTTAACCTCTAATATAAAAGGCACAAGTCCCTTGGGTTCCCAGCAGTGATGCTTGTCTTTCTTTTTCAACTAGCTTACCTCAAAGTACTGAACACTTTGCAAAAGAAGACGGCATGGGCACAGCCCTTGATCATCAATCCCCGATAACGTCCATGCAAATACAGCCAGTAACGCTCTTCCTCTGGAATCCCACACTCAAACTTGAGGGATTCAAGGTCATCTATTATATTCATTTTCAAGCCACCATCTCCTGCAGTGACAGATACCAATCAACATGTCTTCCTGCCTGGAGAACGGGGTCAGGCACAGGGCTTAAATATGATGGAACGTGTGACTAGGTCATGAGTCCCCACAGCAGTGAACTTCAGCACCACTCTCCTTCCAGATTCTGAACTTGAAGTTCCCATTTCTATTTGAGTGGGACCATTGAGGCTTCCTAATAACTAAGGATCATGAATCCTGGATTCATGAAATCTGAGAAGGAATTCACAGTAATATTTATCCATACTGGCTGCAGATGCATTTTTCAACAGGAGTTATCATAGCAATAGCTTCCAGAGGTGTTCTTAGCTGGGAGCTTTCCCTTCCATTCCACGGGCTTTGGAAATATTGCTGATCACACAGAGCCTCATTTCAAAGAAAATCTCCACTTTGAGTAAACTCTGTGTTCCTTGTGGGGCAGAAAAGAGCCCGAATTGGGTACCACTGATCCCTTAGCTAGAGCATGGGTACTTCAGTCTTAGAAAATAAGCCTACACACACACAAACCCATCTACATATATCTCTCACCAACCAACGGAGATTCACTCTACCCCTCAGGACTGCTGGTCTAGGTGGATGAAAACTACTTATGTAAGGCGAGCCACCCAAGAGAATTATCTTTATGACTCCTTAGCGACCAGTTCATTCTATCCTCTGGTCTTAAAGAAGCATGACACCTCTACAAACTTTCCTGGCCTGAATATGAGGATACAGTTCCTCTCACTACTTGTAGGGATGCTATCCCAGGCCAGGATGGAACTTATTTTTTTTCAACAGAAGAATCTGGATTCCCCCACCCCACCCACCTCCTCTTTTTTTCCCCTGGAACTCTCTTTGTAGACCAGGCTGGCCTTGAACTCACAGAGATCCACCTCCCTCTGCTTCCCAAGTTCTGGGATTAAAGGTGTACACTACTCGGCTCTGTTTTTTTTTTTTCTTCCAGACTCATAGATTTTAGCACTGCTTTTAAAAAGTAAGTGACAGGACCCGAGAGATGCTAAGTGGGTAAAGGTGCTCACCATGCTCAATTTCCAAAACCCACCTAAAGGTGGCTCTCTCTCTCTCTCTCGCTCTCTCTCTCTCTCTCTCTCTCACACACACACACACACACACACACACACACACGCACACACATACACCACAACAAACAAACAAACAAATAAACAAAATAGCAAAATGATTTCCCTCCAGTACCTGGCATTGAACCCGGACCTGTGCATGCTGGGCAATACCCCCAGTCCCCTTCTGAGTCGGTGACTCATCAAGTGTGATCCCCCTGATTCAGTGTCCCATGAAGCTGAGACTACAGGGATGTACTACAGCATTCCGTAAAAGAAATGTAAGTTGTTGAGGACTGAACCCAGAGCCTTGCATCTACCATGCATTCTACCATGCTGCTATCCCAGCCCTTAGCACTGCCCCCGTCTTTTTGCATTCAATAATCAATCTTGTAGTCATTGAGACTGAAGACAGAATTTAAAACTACTCAGTCTCTAAATCTCATTAGGTTAAAAACAAATCTAGGTGAATTTCAGGTAACATAAAACTACTCATTCTAAAATGAACAATTCCGGGTTACATTCAGACTGTTGTGTGACTGCCTGGTTCAGAAACATTTTTATACCCCACAAAAAGAAATCTTACTTGCATTAAGCAATTACTCCCAGATCCTTCCCACTTCCAACCTCTTGGAGTCCCCAGTCTGCTTTCAACATATAGATTTATATATTTCAGATAATCCATAGAAAAGAATTGTACCATTTGTTGCTTTTTATGCTTGGCTTCTCCAATCCCTCTTAACAGGAATAGTAGATGTCACATCCTACTCTTGCAATCAATGTTTCCTGTTCCAAAGGAAAGAGGAACTCAGATCCTGGCAGACCTGCATGACCAATACAGCACCCTTCAGACATGAATTCTAGGCATTTATTTGTACATTCTCAAAAACAGAGATTCGGTGTTACAGCTTCTTGATCTAGCAACTTGATTCGAATGAAATGCTCCCCAGAACCCATTCCTTTTGTGTTTCTGGTTAGAGAGAACCACAAGGAATGTTTTCATGAAGAATCTAGAATCTAGAATCTAGAATCCCAGCACTTGGGAGGCAGAGGCAGAGCCTCTTGTAGACCATAGAGCTAGTTCCAGGACAGCCTACAAAGCCACTAGAAACCCTGTCTTGAAACACACACACACACACGCACGCACGCACGCACGCACGCACGCGCGCGCGCGCGCGCACACACACACACACACACACACAATCTAGAATGTGGAAATGAAATAGCAACCAGTTCCTGTTTCAGCTTACAAGGCCACATCATTACTTCTCTGGTTGGCAGGCTTGGTGTAACTTAGCAGCTTGACCTGTAACTGCTCCACCTGCTCCTGGATCCTGCTTCAGCTGCTCACGCCTGAGCCAGGTCATCTTCAACTCTGACAAAAACCAGCTGCTCCTGCAGGCTATTATTCTACCAAGGTTGGAGCACACTCATCCTAAACTGCTAAAGTTATCTGAGAGCAGGGACCCTCAATTGAGAAAAGCCTCCATAAAATCAGGCTGCAGGCAAGCCTGCAGGCATTTTCTTAATTGGTGATGAATGAGGGAGGGCCCAGTCCATTGTGAGTGGTGCCATCCCCTGGGCTGGTGATCCTAGGTTCTATAAACAGCTGCTGATTCCAGATTCCTGCCCTGCTTGAGTTCCTGTCTTGACTTCCTTGATGAACAGTGATACAGAAGTGTGAGTCAAATAAACCCTTTCTTCCCCAAGTTACTCTGGTCATGGTGTTTCATCACAGCTGTAACCCTGACTAAGACAGTATCTTGGTTCTAGCTTAGCCCTGTTGTCCCTCACTTTATAGCCATCTTCCTCCCCTCACTGCTTTCCCTATGAAATTCAAACTCTATCACCAGACATAAAAGCAACCACTTTATATAGTTAGCTATCATCTTAACCTGGGCCAAACTCCTGTAATGAAGTATGTGGTGAGGCTGGATAGATATAACCTATCTGCACCCCTAGTGGTTCTGCTTCTCTACTGAAGTCTGATACACTATCAAGTTAAACCCACTTCTTCAAGAGTGAAAAAGATCCTCAGGAAAGTAACAAAATATGAGGCTACCTGGAATTGTAGATGATTGTAAAATGCAGAAGATGGATCTGATTCTTTTAAAGCAGATTTTTTATTTAACATTTATATGCGTGTGTGTGTGTGTGTGTGTGTGTGTGTGTGTGTGTGTGTGTGTGTGCGCGCTCGTATGCATGCATGCTTGCATGTAAACATGTGAAGGTCAAAAGACAACTTACGGAAGTCAGTTCTCACATAATACCATGTGGGACCTAAAGATCAAATGTAGTTCTTCAGACCTCGTAGCAGCTCTTTTACTCACAGAGCCATCTCTCCAGCCCTAAAGCAGGTGTAGTAACACGGCTGTTACTATGTTTTAAGCAGGATAATTCTTTGCTGTGGGGCTTTTTCTGCACATAACAGGATATTTACCAACATACTTGCCCTAAGTATGGCAATAAAAAGTGCCTTCAAACATTGCCAAATGTTTCCTGCAGGCCCAAACTGCCTCCAGCTAAGTAAGAAGCACACACTGTCTTAGACTAGAGCAAGCTGTGTGCTGTGTGCATTAACTATTTCCTACCACTTCACCGGTGCACTTGTAGAACGCCACAGTCACAGACTACGACGCTGTTTTTCTACAGATGAAGGTGAGCCCCCAGAACAAGGGACTCCCTCCCTGGTTTGTCAGCAGCAGAGGTGAAGAGAGTCAGGCCTTCTGTCCTGCCTTGCGCAGACACTGTCACACTAGATGTGCTGACAGTCATGGGCAGTCACAGATGCAGACAAGTCACCCCATGCACTCAGTAACCACATGGGGAAGAGAAGCACCAAGACTGCAAGTTTTATTAGGAGTGTAGGCATGTCAGGGGAAGACAGTTCAGGGAGGCACAGGGCAGAATCTAACATTGCTGAGGTCCCCAGCACGCCAAGCAGGGGAACAAAACCTCTTTCGAGACATCTGAGGGAAGTGATGCCACACTAGCCTGGGTGAGACTTGTGGCTGCTTCTGGTAAAATAATTTTTTGCCCAAAAGAAGAGCACTCCAGCACTGGTGAATCTGAATTCCATATAGGACTGTATCTGAGACCAAAGGAGGGGACAAGGTGAGGCAGATGGCGCACCACCCAGACAGTGTGCAGGTGACAGCAGGACCCTACATTATGAACAAAAAGTCCACAGGGACAGCAGATGGATACTGGCTGAAGACACATAATGTCTAGGAAGCATCTGTCATAAGATGCGTGGCCCTGTGCTTGAGAATTTGAGTCTGGTTCCCAGCAGGTCCTGGGCAATCCTGGTATTCCTTCCTGCGGCCCTTGAAGAGTCAATTTAATTCTGTTCTGATTTCCTTTAGAGCAGAAATGCCAATGTCCACCACCAGGTCATAATGACTGAGAGGAATATCACGATAACCCTGTGAAACCTGCTGCTCTTAGTCCAGATGTCCTTCTGGGGCAGTCACTTCTCTGACTAAGACGTCTTACCCTGGATGGGCTCCCACCTTTCCACAGCCTCTGGTGCAGAGCATCTTTCCTGTGAGGCAAAACCTTAGATACTGGCCTTCGGATAATGTCCCTGGGACAAATCAGCCTGAAGATCACATGCTCAGATGCAGGTTTCTGTCCCCAAAGCAGCAGGCACTGCCTGTGAATGACAGGCTTGAGTGGTTGAATGCTGTGACTCTTCCAAGAAGAGAGCTCTCTATTTTCATAGGCAGAAAGGAAGAAGTGAGGCAGGTTTCAGGGCAGCAAATGATACTTAGTTCTTCCATCGAATTTGCTGTGAAAAAGCAAACATCAAAGGTATGATCAGTTTTCACATCACTACAACAAAAGAGAGGGAAAATAAGGATTGAATTGGGGCTGTTGAGTTTTGTTGTTTGGGACAGGGTGTCTCTATGTAGCCCAGAATAGCCTGGAACTAAGTGTATATCCCAGGCTAATCTCAAACCTCCGATTTCCCTGCCTTAGCTTCCCAAGGGTCAGGATTGTAGACATGTACCAGAAAAGACTGATTTTAACTCTCTGTGTACATGTGTGTGTTAAAGACAGAGTTCAAGCTTGGGTATCATTCCCCAGATGTTATCCACCTTGTTTTTTGAGACAAGATCTCTAACTACCCTGGAACTTGTCAATTAGATTAGGCTAGCTGGCTGACCAGTGAGCCCCAGGGATCCTCCTGGAAATGCCTCCCTAGTGCTGGGATTACAAGCACATGCCATCATCACGCCCAGCCTGTGTGGGTGCTGGGGATTGGACTTAGAACCCTGTGTATGCATGGCTAGCACTTTATTGATTAAATGATCTCCCTAGCCCCAAGATTTTTCCTTTCAGTATGTGGGAGACCATTTATTCAGAGATAGATTAAATACCTGTTCTGTATTTTACAGACTGTCAGTTTAGAGCATTAATCTGGCTCTGCCCTTCTTACCGCAGATATTCAATAGTGACCATGCATAGGTGTCAAAATTCCTAATATGAAAAGCTCAGTGATTTCATCCTGTGAGAGATAACCAGCTGGACTTCCCAAATAACTAAATCTATTTCATTCCTTCTTATTTCCAACAAGCAGGTCACCACCATGTCCCAATGGAACATGCAGCCTGGATACCGAGACCAGATCATGTGTTCTGTAGTCCCTACCATCTGCTAGGTTTAACCATGATCAGCACTCACAGCTAAGCTTCATGCTGAGGTCTTCAGGTTACTCTTCTATCATTTCATGTCTCAAGAGTGACTTCTGCTGTACAAAACAGTGCTTTAGCTACTTCAGCCCACAGGATAAGTGGACCCACCTAGGTCTTTGAAGCTTACACTTGACGCTGTTTTTGAACGGTCTCCTAGGCTCACCAGAGGGAAGTGGAGATGCTTACCGAGCTGTTGAGAATGGCATCGATCTTCTCTTCCTCCACAGATCCTTTATCAACTTTGCTCCTGTATGCAAGCAACTGCTGACGGTCCTTCAGGTCTCGGCAGGTCTGTACACCAAAACACAATCAAATCCCTACCCAGCCTTTTCTATGAGGGCCTCACTCTTTCTGCCACTGTTTCTTTGCCCCTGGGCTCAAGGAAGGGACAATAGATGACAGTAAGATAATGTGTGTAAAGCACCTGCAGAACCCCATGCTGGAGAAAAAGCCACAGAGCTTATATAGCTCCATTCAGTTCCAATGTGTCCAAATTCGACCTAAAAGCTGACAGAATTAAGTTGGAAGACTGTGAAAACAACACAGGAGTATTAGTCTCCAAACTAACTCTTGCCAGACCATTTTGTCTATCTAATCAAAACTGCTGGAAGCATTTTGGGATCTGGGGCAAGTGTTGTATCCCCGACTCTCCACCCAGACCTAACCCAGTGCTCTCTTCTTGGGAACTCACATCAATGACAACATCATGGCACTTGAGCTTAGTGGCTAAGTTCAGCTTTGTGTCCACATCTTCCACCAGATTGACATAGTCCTGCAATATCTGTAGGAGAAAGTACTCTGATTAAATGATGAAAACACAAGGCTCCCTAGGTAGAGAAAATAAGTCCTAACAGAGGGTAAATTCAATACCTAATGTCTGTGAGTGCCATTATGGACCATGGCTTTGCCGTGGGAAATGAGGTGATGCTTGGCAGCACGTCCCTGCTGCCTCAGAAGAAAGGAGCAGTCCTCCTTACCCTGCAGCCAGTTACACAGCCCACAGTGCTCTCAAGCTGGTCGTGAGCATGCCTAAAGTCCTTGACATGCTTGCCACAAGTAATCTTTCTGCATCATCGGAACAGTGTGTAGTTCTTCATATGGCTAAACACAGTAGCTGCTCCTCAGAGAAGGTCGGAGAGTACTTGTAAAGCAGTGTTCCTCCCTGCCCTTTTCTATCTCAAGGCCCAGCACAGCCAAAGTGCTACCATTAAGAAAATGAGAACACCTCAAGTCCACATCACTAGCTCCTTTTCAGAGCCATTACCTGGACAGGGGCGCTGTTTTTGTGCAAAATTTCCACAACTCGATGGAAGCCAATGGGTGCTCTCTTCTTGGTGTAACCCAGCCAGTTCTGAAAGAAAGGACAGCAGTAGGTGGACTAGACATCATCAACACACGGGGCTCATCTTGATTGCCTTTCACAGTCAGATCAGAAAAGCATGTAGATAGATGGGATGAAGGGTGGAGAGACACCGAGAGAGAAAAGCACAGCAGAAAGACAGGCTGAGGGGTGCAGAAATAGCAAGAGATGGATTTTTCAGAAAAACCAAGGAATATATTTAGAGGGCGGAATGCTCCTAAATGGAAAGAGTGATGAGTAACAAACACACCATGAGTTTGTCAGTACAAAAAAAAAAATTCTACTTTCCATCTTCACATGCACATGGAATCGTTCATTTGTAAACTGCAGTAAGGTCTGGGCAGTACTGACAACAGTGCTTTCCCCAGTGAGGTAGGAGCAGGCCGACAGTGAAAGATGAACCTCTTCTTGTTTGTGCTGGGAAATGAGTCCGGGCTTTGTGCACGCCGCCTGTGCACTCCACTACCATTGAGGACAGTCCCAGCCTTCTTGACTCATTATATACTTTTGCATACAGTGTTGGGTTTTTCTACTGGCATGTCTTGCTTTAGTAGTTAACATAACTAATTAATAAATGAGAAGAAAAACCAGAAACTTCTCAAGGCTAGAATGAAAAAATATTTATATTTAAATTTTAAACCAATTTGTATAGAACTGCAAAAGATCTACCAAACAAATCCCAACGCGCACGCACACACACACACACACACACACACACACACACACACACACACACACAAAATAAATAAATATAATTAAAGAAAATTTAATGTCACCATTCTTATATGAATTGCAGCATTACCCACAATAGCCCAAACTATGAAAAAGGTGTCTATTATTAGAAAAATAGATAATGACCGGGCGTTGGTGGCGCACTCCTTTAATCCCAGCACTCGGGAGGCAGAGGCAGGCAGATCTCTGTGAGTTTGAGGCCAGCCTGGTCTCCAGAGTGAGTGCCAGGACAGGCTCCAAAGCTACACAGAGAAACCCTGTCTTGAAAAAACCAAAAAAAAAGAAAAAAAAAAAAAGAAAAAGAAAAATAGATAATGAAACTGTGGTATGTGTAAGTGTGTGTGTGTGTGTGTGTGTGTGTGTACACACATGTTCACACAATGAAATGGCATCCATTTTTAAGAAGATACTGCAATTTATGATAGCATGGACTAACCTAGAGGTTATTATGCTGAGAAATAAATCAGACACAGAAAGAAGCTACATGATCTTATTTATATGAGAGCTTAAAAAAAAAAAAAAAAGCCCCAAATTTCAAATACACAGAAACAGAAAACAGTGGTTTGCAGAGAGTTCAGAGGTTAAGAGCACTGGGTGCTCTTCCAGAGGTTCTGAATTCAATTCCCAGCAACCACAAGGTGGCTCACAACAATCTAAAATGAGATCTGGTGCCCTCTTCTGGTGTGTGTATACATAATAAATAAAGAAATCTTTAAAAAAACAAAACATTGGTTTTCAGGAGAAAGAAAAATAGGAGTGGGTTAAAGGATATGATAAAGTAGGATAAATAAATCTTGAGTTCTAAGCTACAGCAGGAAGCCTATACCTAACTACATGATACCTTAAACTAGAAATCTACCAAAACTGCATTTTAGAAGATTAGTGATGATGTAGGATAGATGTTATTAGCTTGGACTATAGTAATCATTCCATTATATAAATCAAAATACCATACTGCACACTTTACAGTACTTGACGATCTTGTAGAGGCCTTGGGTTCAATTCCCAGCACCTACATTGTGGCTCACAACCATCAGTAACTCCATCCACATGGTACATTCACACACATAAATCTTAAAAATAAAAAAAACAACTAAAAACAGTAATGAGCTAATTTAAAAGTGATGTATATATGGCAAATATTTATGATAATATAATTGCATTAATATTACATTTCCTGAGATGTGATACTTATGAAATAAATGCTTGATTATTAAAGGAAAAATGTTATACATACAGTTTACTTTCAAATGGTTCTAGAAAAAAATGTATATAAAAAAAGCAAAAGCTAAATAATACTGTAAAATGTTAATAAATTAGTAGTTAGAGACAGTGGCTACTAGACTCGTCTTTCAAATTTTCTTTACATTTAAAATTTTAGAACACAGGAGGCTGGAAGAAGATCCATTGGCACCTGAAATTTGAGAGACCTATGATGGCCTTCTTTCTCCGAAGGCCTCAGAAGCAAAGTGTCCACTCACCTTTGTGGTGAAGAGGGCATCGACGTCATTCCAGGCTCGAAGCTTGGCACGAGCAGCCAAGGCTGTCAGCACATACTGCTTATCTGGGATCTGAAGAGTGGAAACCAGGAAAAAGTAAGAGGAAATGGAAATGCACCCACTAAATGCTCTAGAATGTTAGAAAAATATCTATATTCACTGGTGTTGCTCCCATCCATCAAAAATCAAAGAATTTCTCAAGTCATCAATAGCCCCCATCTTCCAAGCTCCACACTGCTGTACATAGTAACATTAAAGCTTTCTGTCACTTCCCACACACTCCTAGCTTTCTACCATTAACCCTGGACATGTACAGGGTTACCAGGTAACACACATTCCATGCAATACTCTGGCACTACTTTACAAAAGAGCCAATGCAATGCTACCTTGAAAGTCTTCTTCAGGTTGATGGGACTGCTGAAGGTCCCCTAGAATGAAAGAGAAGAAACTTTAATGACATCACCCAAAGCCCCATTTTCTTTTCTATTACACAGACTCTGTGTCTTATTGCAAACCATTTAAACAGAGAGATCAGTTTGTGAGAAAGTCTCCATCAGGTGTAATGGAAACAATACAACCTACTCCATTTGGAAGAAGACTGGGGAGCACAGTGCTCTGTCCATTTCCTGCTAATCCAAGGAAGACAGAGCATATTTGTGAGGGTTAAGTCAAGTCCAAATTTGCTCAGTGGTCAAGAGCACCGGCTTGTTTGTACTCTAACAAATAAAGCTTGTCTGAAGATCAGAGGGCCAAGCTAGCCACTAGTTTTTTGTTTGTTTTGTTTTTTTAAGATTTATTTATCATGTATACAGTGCAGGCCAGAAAAGGGCACCAGATCCCATTACAGATGGTTGTGAGCCACCATGTGGTTGCTGGGAATTGAACTCAGGACCTCTGGAAGAACAGTCAGTGCTCTTAACCCCTGAGCCATCTCTCCAGCCCTCTAGTTAACCATAGAGGTCTTGGAGGTCTCAACAGACAGACCAGAAGTGATATGGCTGGGTGGAGAGAGAAATATAAGGCAAGAAGAGACAGGAGCTCATTCTCTTTTTGGTCTGGAGATTATGTAGAGGTAAGAACTCTAGTGGCTGGCTGCTCTGCTTCTCTGATCTTTCAGCTTTCATGCCCTAATATCTGACTCAGGGTTTTTATTATTAAGACCAATCAGAACTTGTTCTACACCAGCTGTTCCTGCAGAAGACCTGGCTTCAATTCCCAGCATCCACATGGCATCTCACAATCATCTGTAATTCCAGTCCCAGGGGATCAGATATCCTGTTTGGCCTCCATTGCTAACAAGCATGCATTGGCACCCAGGCATGCATGCAGGCAAATGAAACACCATCCACATAATTTTTTTATTATTATTATTTTTAAATAGAAAGCAAGCCATGACACTGTTCTCTATGCCACTGCTGCTCTGCCATCATGCCAGCCACACATGGCCATACAAACCCTCATAAACTTTTATCCCTTTTGGCTCACTCTTGTGAGGGCCTGAGAAATTTCTGGGTGATTTCTGAAAACTCCAGGAGCCCACTGACAATACCTCACAACAGTGGATTTGAACAATGCTCCATGCTTACTCCGCCTGTACCTCGGACTCGGTGTAGTGATAGAAGCAGGCGTAGAAGAGCGTTGTCACCAGTGGCATGTTGAGAATGGAAGCTTTACGGGGGTGCTTTCGGAAGATCTCAGTCTGTCCTGCAGACTCTAGATGTCGATCGTTTGCCTGTGATGGAGTGAGCCAAGTGAAAAAAGGAACAATGTCCATGGGGAAAGACAGGGAAAAAAAGTCTACTAACTACTACAGAAGTCATGTTTCCCACCATAGGAATGAAGCAAAAAAGAAAAACACAGAAACTGCTTAGGATATCCCAGGAAGGACTAAAATCCATAAATGAATCATAGATCTTAAGTTTAATTAAGAGATTTCAAAAGCTTCAGCTTGGTGTTCCCTGTCTGTGATTCCAGTATTTGGGAGGAGGACACACGAAGATCAGGCATTTGTGGTCTTATTACATAGTGAGTTCTAGGTCAGACTGGGTTCTATGAGATCCTGTTTCAAAACCAAAAAGAAAGAAAGAAAAGTAAGAAAGGAAGGGAGGGAGACAGGGGAGGGGAGAAATTTCAGCAGTGGAGTTGACACAAGCAATTTGGAATAAAGAGGGAAAAGGAAATATTTCCAGGCTAGCGGCAGAGAAGAGGAAGAAGGATGTCTAAGAACAATCAAGAAAAACTCCGAGGGAAAAGAAAAGGCTGTGCCAGAAATGGCATGAGCAGAACAAAGGAGTGATCGACATGCTGGGTGCAGAAAGCAGGGACAAGGGGTCCAACCTCAATAATGATCTGGCGTTCCAGGAGCGTGTAATGGTCTTGTACGTGTGCAGAATCTTCTGCTGAAAATGGCAAACTGGTAAAGGGCAACAAGGTTAGTACCGTTTTCTATGTGAAAAGCAAAACAAACCCAATGATACCAAATGACCACTAAACCCTTCTGAGGCTCTCGGTTTTTAACATGTCTGATCTCAATGCAACTTTACATCATCCTGAGACAGAAAAGCAGGAAACAGAGTAGACCTGGCTGGATGTTGCAATGTGAAGTTTGCCATCTGGAGCTGGGGATGTAGTTTGGATGGTGCAGGGCTTGCCCAGCGTGCAAAAAGCCCCAGGTTCAATCCCCAGTACTGCATAGACGGAGTGAGGTGGTTTAACCTGTTATCCAAGTTTTCCCAAGGTGGGGACATGGAATTGGAATAGCAAAGCCGACCTGGGCTACATGATATACTCTATTTCAAATGCAATTGTATGTGACGTTGCTGTGGACTGAGTAAGAATCAGCTTTATCTGGGGAGTTGGGTATCTGGTGAGCTGCCCAGACACTGCCCATCATCAACTGCCCACAAAGCTCTGTGCCGGGCCTTGCTGAACTCTACTCAATCTGTTAATTATTTTTAGAGCAGAGTAATAAAAAGCAAATTTAATTATATAGCACAATGATAGGTTGGCAAATATTCAAAGATTATACCAATCTACATAAATGTCAAGGACTCCCATCTTCACAACTATGTCTTTAGCAGATATACATGTACATAATTCCAGCACTTGTGAGATGGACCTAGAAGGTTCAGGAGTTCAAGGTCATTCTTGATTACATAGCAAGTTCAAAGCTAGGCTGAGGTACATGACAGTAAAAGGCACCTTTTAACCTCAGTTCAGAAATCCAACCTTTAAAATAGTGATCCTTACCATTCCTAATGCTGTGACCCTTTAATACAATTCCTCATGGTGACCCCAACCATAAAATTTCTATTACTGTTGCTACTTCATAACTGTAATTTTGCTACTGTTATAAATTATAATGTAAATATCTGATATGTGACCCAAAAGGGTGTTGTGACCCACAGGTTGAGAACCACTGCTTTAGACAATGCTGCCTGCTCCTCTAATCATTGCAGAAAAATTCTGAAATCAATTACTGTCTCTGGTAAGTGTTAGCCACAGCTACCTATCTGGTAACATTAAAATTAGGGATTTCATAGACAAGCAAATTAATTTTTTTGTTTTTTGAGACAGGGTTTTCCCATGTAGCCCCAGCTGTCCTAGAAAACTCTAGACTAGGCTGGCCTCCAACTCAGATATCCACCTGCCTCAGCACCTGGGTGCTGGTATTAAAGGCGTGCACTACCACCACTGCCCAGCTGACAAGCACATTCTAAATGTGACCCTGGAAATCCTTCCATGAGGATATGGCTAAAACAATTGTGAACACTGGCCCTTGAGAAGCAGGGGCTTCTGGGAGACTGTATGGAAAGATACCGAAAAGCACATTTCAGTTTAACTTAAGGAAGCCTTTCCTATAGCAGAGGCAGGGCAACAATAAAATGAGTCACTTCCCAGAGCAGTGAGCATCCCATCAGAAGAACAGGAACATCTGGGGTTCCATTTGTTTTGAATGGAGGATTTGTGTTTGGGGTGAAAGCCTGCACTAGAACAGCAGTCCTGAGACAACTGGCAACGTGACAAACATACGAGGTCCATAAAAAGTTGTCACCTTTGAATTTTATTACATTAAGTCATTAAGAAAATTACCACCAATTTTATTTCCAAAAGAAGGGGACGTATGAGCCACAAAGTCCCGGAACAAAAGACAGTCTTTCTTTCAAATCTTGTACATTCAGAGTTAGGAAAGAGTCTATCTCGCTCCATTTTCCCCAGGTTAGCTCCAATCAGCAAAAGCTTGGCTGGAGATGAGTATTTGGGAGCCACTGAGGGGGACGATTCACTGTTAGCCTTTCCCTTCCAAACCACCCACTCCATCCTTTTGTCTTCTCCTGACTACACTGCTTCTCTCCATACTTACCCAATGCAAGTCTTAAGAAATTCTTTTCGCTTTTCAGGGTCCTGAATGTTTAAATGTTCTCGATAATGGGTTAGCTACAAAAAACCAGAGGAATTTAAAGAGGGAACAGAGCTAGCAGAGGTATAGCACTTGTCTAAGCATACATAAGAGCACAAAGAGAGGGGCATACATACATATATATCACACACACACACACACACACACACACACACACACACACACACACACGGAGAGAGGGGAGAGTGAGGGAGAGCACTCATTGAAGACTCTGTGTGTGTGTGTGTGTGTGTGTGTGTGTGCGCGCACGCGCGCGCGCGTGCGCGCTTGCCTGTGTTTGTGTATGTGTAGGAGTCAGAGGCCAATATCTGTTTTTTCTCTATTGCTCTCCACATTATCTCTTTATAGATTTATTCTAAGCGTGTACACACATGCTTGAGTGCAGGTGCTTGAGGAGCAGAAGATATCAGATCCCCTGAAGCTGGAGTTACAGGTGGTTATGAGCTGCCTGACATAGGTGCTGGGAACAGAATTCCAGTCCTCTGCAAGAGCAATACATACCCTTAAAGTTCTGAGCTGTCTCTTCAGTCCATCCATCTTATCCTCTGAGCCAGGGTCTCTCATCACACCTGAAGTGAGACTACCAGGCCAGCAAGCCTCTGGGATCCTCTCCTCTCCACTGCCTCAGCATTGGGCTTACAGATACATAGTCACAGCACCCAACTTTTATATGGGTCCTGGGGATCCAAACTAGGGGTCGCATGCTTGCATAGCAAGCACTTTATCCACTGATCCTTCTCCCCGGCTTGTGAGTAGACTTTCTATGCTCTAGAAACTCCAATTCTTTACTCTCAGAGAGTTCTCCTTGACTATAGAGGATTGTGTATGTGCTTGGGGAATATGGTGGGCAGTGTCATTTCCTGGACACTTGTCTTCTAACCAACAAGGAAAAGGAAACAATTCAATTGGCAGGAGAGCTTGGCGGCTAGGCTGGGTTTTGGCTTAGCTGCCTGGTAAACAGACTCCCAACAGAAACACATGCCACACTTACCGCCAGCTCTTCTGTTCTATCTAGGAACCTGGGGAAAGCAGAAGGAAGCAGGAAAGTTTAATCTACTGAGGTGTGGCACTTCCGACAAGCTCTAGAAGAAACACAGTTCCACTCATCATCTCTATGTGATGAGCAGTAAGCCCTATTCTTACATTCCTTCCATCTCCACCCTTTCAGAACACTTGGTGACTATGGATCTACTTTTCCCTGTGTTCTAACCAAATGAAACAGGCAGGGCAGGACACCAACAACTTAAACAGACTGCCCTAGCCCATTGCCACCTGTGTGTTTCCTTCTTTACTCGAAATTAAAACACTATTTTCTGTCAAAACAACCTTGGAAACAGGCGTTCTACACAATTCTTTATTTCATTCATGTAGAGAATAATGTAGTTGATCTCTGTTTCCTCCTTATTCTGAGCAGACCATAATTAACAAACACTGCCTTGGCACCGAAGTGATGCTTGACAAGACTTTTCCTGACTGGAAAGGAAGGCCAGAGAGAGCAAACAGCCTGCCTCTGTAAGCACGTGTTCTTTGGCAGATTCCTTCTGACTAACCAGGTAAACTGCTTTCCGACATCAGTCTTTGGGGACAGCTCATCACTGTTCTGGCCACACAGTAAATGAGTTACTCTGGGCCACAAAACCTAAGGAGGTACTAACACCTTCACTGACATTGAGGAAGGGATAAGACATGCATACAGCTTAATCCAAGAACAAAAACTCATCCCCAGTGAGTGGAATGAGAAGGAAAAGGCCACCAAGCAGACAGCCACCTCTCACCTAGCTTCCTAGTGCAACCCATATCCTAATGCTTGTATGAGACTTCCATGGGGAATCCTGACTGATAAACTATAGCTCCTTCTTTACTCCTCACTGGCATCACTTGAACAAAAGGAGGGCCCTTTAATCCAGGGTTTTAGAAGAAAATGCTTAGCAAACACTGATTAATACAACAGATTCATGTTGGCCTACTCACTTCAGTCTTCGTTACTCCGTGTGGGAGACACCACCATCTCCATTTTACAAGGGGAAAAGCCCACTCTCAGGAAGTCTGGTGACTTGCTCAAAATAACAGGATAACACATAACAGCACACACACACAGTCCAGGTATGTTTGACTATGGGCCCTGATCCCTAATACCCTGCTATGCTGCCAGACTGTATGGTGGTGTAACTATCCCAACACATGTCAAGAGTTTGTTTTCTAGGTGTTTCTGGAAAAGGACAGTGTCTTCAATTTCCTTGCAGTTCCTCTCCCCCCACAGTGATCTGAAAATGCACCTAATACATTACATAGACCAGAAGCCCAGATCTTACCTGAAGAGGTCTAAAAGCAGCTTCTGGTCCCCTGTTTCTTTAAGGAAATGAATGAAATGTCTCAGGGCGACCTGGCGTACTTCCAACTCTCGGAAAAGGATCTCTGCATGTAGGAAGAAGTTAGTTGGAGAAAGAAGTAACGCTACCTAGAACTCAAGTCTGAGACTGGCTTCTCCACTCACACATCTGAAGCATCACCTGAAAGCCCAGCAAAAGCTAATGTTTTCTTTCTGACCTCAACCCACCATCATCAAGAGCTCTATGCTCTAGCGCTGTGGTTCTCACTCTTCCTAATGCCGCAATCCTTTAATACAGTTCCTCATGTGGTGACCCAACCATAAAATTATTTCATTGATAGTTCATAACTGTAATTTTGCTACTGTTATGAATCATAATGTAAATATCTGATACACAGGATATCTGATATGTGACCCACAGGTTAAAAACCACTGCTCTAAAGCAACACATGGCTACACAGTCAGCCTTTTGAGTTCTCAATAACACTAACAGCGGATACTTCTCACTTCCTCGAACAAACTGCTCGAGTGTTCCCAACAATACAGCCCATTGCCTGTAGCTAATACAGCCCCCATCCTGAGGGCTGCCCTTAGGATGTGTCCTTAGGATGTGTCCTCTTAAGTCACAGGCCACCCCAGCTGTCTCTGAGCCACACTTGATCCTAGTGAGTTCTGATATAAAAGCCACAGGTGTTGCTGAGCAGAGACTTCCTTCAAACCACACTCACCTTTGCTCAGGGTTCTCTTCAGGAAGATCAGAACCTAGAGGAAAGGAGACAAGTACTGTAAATTCTTTCACATGCAAAGGCTGCCCTGACTACCTCATGTCTAGGAACGAGGCCAGCAATGTGTGAAGAATCACTGCTCTGGAATAATCCCTTTGTACTCTGTGAAGATGTGTTGCTGTCATTGTTAATAAAGAGCTGACTGGCCAATAGCTAGGCAGGAAGAAGTTAAGGTAAGAGAGCCAAACCGAGAGGATGCTGGGAAGAAGAAGGGAGGAGTCACAGGGGTCACCAGCCAGATGCAGAAGAAGCAGGAGATGAACATGCTGTGCTGAAAAAAGGTACTGCCACGTGAAAGAGCATAGGTAAGAAATATGGGTTAATTAAAGATGTAAGAGTTAGTTAGTAACAAGCCTAAGCTATCAGCCGAGCATTTATAATTAATAATAAGTCTCTGTGTGGTTATTTGGGAGCTGGCTGGCAGGACAGAGATGACTGGCGGGACAGAAAAAGTCCACCAACAAATCACTGCAGGCAGAGCACACCCTCTCAGTGGGACAGGAGGAAAGGATGGAAATGAGCTGTGTCCTAGGTGTCCAAATGCCTAAGCCCACTGTGTCCATCCATACTGGCTGAGAAACTACTCTCACACAGTTTTGCTGCCATGATACTTTGCATAACATAGAGCAGGCAGCCTTCTGTTTTCTGGTCACAATGAACAGTTCCACATAGAATGCATAAGTCAGAAGCATAGCTTTTTGAGAACCCTATGCCTCAGAGAGAAAACCAGGCTCTTGATAGGCAACCACTGTGAAGCCAGTTTTGGCTGAATTTTCAGGAGCTACTGAACAACTGATAGCAACCATCACACTTACTGCAGTGATGACGTTTCCATCATGCATGCTTACTGCCTCCTCCAGGAGCTGCAGCTTGTCCTGTAAGGAGCGGAATCGTTCCAGGGAGCAGACCTGCAGAGTAAGACCACATAAAGAATACATAAGGAAAACCGCTGCCCATATTCCCTTGTCACTGCATAGCGAGGGAAAGGAAGCATCCAGAGAGAACCTCTACATTCACACACTGGTCTCTGGGCTCTGTAAGCCTGCAGGTCCCACCATACCCTACCTAGTTCAATGGGATGTCCTGTAGGACGCTGATGCCTTCAAGTCTTGACCAAGCCAACAGATAATCACTCACTTTTTCTTCATATGTAATTTTCATACAATAAAACTTGCCCTATGCAAGTTTATAGCTCAGCTTTGAAAGTGCCTACATCCTTCTAGCCACTACAACAGAGACACAGATCGCTTCTATCACCCTTAAACAGCCCCTCTGTTCAAGCTGACGTTAATGCCCTCCAGTTCCTAGCCCACCAAAGCACTCTTCTGCTCTCGGTCACCTTAGCTTTGTCTTTCCTAGAATTTCACCCAAGAAAGACTGCCACTAAATTATCAACTGACTTTCAAAAAATATACTCCCAAATTTCAATGAGAAAAAGTCTTTCCAACAGTGCTAAGAAAGTTTGGGATCTATATTAAAAAAGAAAAAGAAGGGGATGGAGAGATGGCTCAGAGGTTAAGAGCACTAACTGCTCTTCCAGAGGACTTGAGTTCAATTCCCAGCAACCACATGGTGGCTCACAACCATCCGTTATGAGATCTGGTGCCCTCTTCTGGTGTACAGATATACATGGAAGCAGAATGCTGTATACGTAATAAATAAATAAAATCTTTTGGAAAAAAAAAAAAGAAAGAAAAGAACATCAACAATTATCCCACACCATATACAAAACTTAACTCACAATGTATGGCTCTCTTTCTGGTGAGGTAAAAGCATCCAGGCTGGCCTCAAACTTGCCACGCTTCTCAGGGTGGCTTTACACTTGCCATTTTCCTGCCCCAGCCTCCCAGGTGCTAGGATTACAGGTGTGCTCTACTCTACATAGCTACTCTCAACCATCACTGTTTTCCCTCTATGCTGGCAAAGCAACTCCAAACCCCAGAGAGTCAAAGACATTGCAGCTGGCTTCTAACCTTAGCGGATTTGCTTTGCTCCTGAAAACTACTCCAATTCAGAAATGGGAAATGGAGAGGAAGTCAAGAAATCCTTCCTGTAGCTGGATGGTGGTGGCACACTCCTTTAATCCCAGCAGATTAAAGGGAGGCAGAGGCAGGCAGATCTCTGGGAGTTTGAGGCCAGCCTGGTCTACAGAGCTAGTGCCAGGACAGCTAGGGCTGCTACATAGAGAAACCCTGTCTTGAAAAACCCAAAAAGAAAAAAAAAAAAAAAGAAAAAAGAAATCCTTCCTGTGGGAACACGCTACTCACCTTGCCACAGAATTCTATAAGAATTTTCTCCTCAGTGTCTTACCTTGCCCCGGCGGAGGCGTCGCACTGTATCACTGGGGCTCCAGTCATTACTATAATCCTGGAATATTAGCAACACATGAATCATATGTTAAGGGCTCAGAATTACTAGTGTACCAGGTCTATGCTTCAAATTCAATCTTTGACCTATGGCAGAAATATTCTGTAGGAAAGAATTAAATCAAAAACATAAAACTGGAATGGGCCTGTTTGAGTACCCGCAGGAACTAGAGTAAGAGTGACATAGCAGTAAGAGGTGGACCAAAGAGGGACAGACCAATAACAAAGCCCAGGACCTTCTGCTTACCAGTTCAGGGTTCCAAACTCCATATGCAGCCAGTCCCATCTCACACCCCAGTAGTATCATTAGCCAAGAGATGGAGAGATATCTGACACTCGGCTCCTTTTTGATTTTAGAATATACTTTGTTCCCTTTGAATCAATTTGCTTGTTTAGTATGCTCTGTGGGAATCTGACCTCCACCATCCCAGACTACAGTGACAATCACACAGTTTCAAGTCAAACTCCCAAAGGCAGCAGAAAGGGCAAGGAAGCATGCTGGACTGTCAGAAAAATTCAGATTTTGAGTCCAACTTCTATCCTTTCCTAGCTGAGAGAACCCAACCAAGTACTGCTGTTGTAAGACCAGTTTTCTCACCTATAAGTGGAAGTTGAAATACATTCATGTGCTGCATAATGACATTTTGGCCAATTCATATATAATGACAGTCCAATAGATTAAGATGGAGCTGAAAGTTTCCTATTGTCTAGTAGTGTGTGGGTGTGGGTGTGATACAGCCATGTGTGTGTGTATGAGCCCATGCATACATATGTAGAGATGTCCTGCTCTACCAACTCTCCACATACTCTCTTGAGACGGGGGTCTCTCACTGAACCTGGAGTTTGCTGTTTTTCAGCTATGTGTCAGGGCCCATAGAAATGGCTCTGTTACATTGAGAGTTCAAACCTATCCTTGCTCTTTCAAGGTTAAAAGCCTAAGACCTAAAAGTCTAAGGTGTGGCTACTGAAGGATGTTTGGCCTAAGATGTGATCTCTGTATGTCTTACCTAGATAATAGAATACTTGATCTAAGATGTGGCTATCAGATGTCTTAATCCTCAAGACCAGATAACAACAGGTTTGATCTAAAGTGTGGTTATTAGATGTTTTGAGAATTAAGGAAGTAATTATATGTGTTTATTCCTTGTATCATTGTTAAGAAAGTCCTTTTGCCTTGCCCCCTTTTTGGTTGGGGAATATAAGAACTTTGAACAATAAACTTAGGTGGATCCCAGTACAGTAGGCACTGGATGCTTTCCCGACTCTATCTTCTGTCTCTCGTCTGTTTCTTTCTTCAATCCACCCTCCCCATCTCAGGTATGGATAAGACAAGCTTTGCTGAGAGCCAGCAGAACCCAGAAATCTTCCTGTCCCTGCCTCCTGCAGTGCTGAGATTACAGAAACATACACCATCGGTGGCTTTTTATGTGGCACCAAGGATCCAAATACAGGTTGTCATGCTTGCACAGCAAGCACTCGTTACCCGCTGAGCCATCTCTCCAGCCCCTTCCTAGTATTTGTAGTATACCTTTTCAACATTTACATACACAAACATCTGTCATTATATCCCATGGGTACAGCACCACACAAAGTAATAGGTATAGAATACAGGCTATCACATCTAGGTTTGTGTAAAACACCCTATGTTTGCACAAAGATGAGACGGCCTAGCAACACATTTCTCAGAATGTATCCCTGTCATTCAGTGACACATGACTGTAACAGATGCTTAGAGTTGGGGAAATTAAGCCAGGTACTTTATACAGAATAAGTGTTGTACTAATATTAAGATATAACTTAAGCTGAACACGATTGGCACAACTACTATCTCAGTACTTGAAAGACTAAGGCAGGAGAATTACCCTAAATCCCAGACCAGCGTGAACTATGTGGTGAGTGTCAGGCTCTAGTCTGGACTACAGAGGGAGACCAGATTTCAGAAAAACAAAATGAAGGCTAATGACATGATTTTGCCAGGAGAGGAACTTGATGCCAAACCCAATGGCCCAGGGAGATAACCAACTCCTTCAAGTTGTCCTCTGAGCACCACACCTGTACCTGGCATGTAGCCAACTCTCTCTTTCTCTCTCTCTCTCTCTCTCTCTCTCTCTCTCTACACACACACACACACACACACACACACACACACCATAAATAAATGTAATTTTAAAGTTAAGTAAGTAATAAAGGGGAAAAGGAAGAGAAATTCTGTAACTCACCCTGTACTCCCCTTTAGGCCTCCCCAGCTCTGGAGCATAACTTTTGGGAGGTGTGTCTGACAGAGCTGAAAATGAACCAGAAGCCAGTTTAGGTTTTTTTTTTTTTTTTTTTTCCTCCCTGGAACTAACTCTGTATACCAGGCTGGCCTCGAACTCACAGTCACAGAGATCTGCCTGCCTCTGCCTCCTGAGTGCTGGAATTAACCACCCAGCTCTGCAGCCTGTTTCTTATCATTCTTTTCCCTCCTGCTTCCTAAACACACGCAGTGTGTGTGTGTGTGTGTCTATGCCTGTGCATGTAAACACATATGCAGGTACCAAGAGTGGGGGTCAAGGACAACTCTGAGATCAGGGATCAAACTCAGGTCATCCAGTCATGGTGGTCTAAATAAGAATGCCCCCATAGGCTCATATATTTGACTGCTTAGTCAACAGGGAATGGCACCATTTGAAAGGATTAGAAGGATTAAGATGTATAGCCTTGGGCTAGAGAGATGGCTCAGCTGTTAAAGGCTAGGGTCACAACCAAAAATACAAGAAGTGTAGCCTTGTTGGAGGAAGTGTGTCACTGGGGTCAGGCTTTGAGGTTTTAAAAGCCCATGCCATTTCCGGAGTCTCTCTGCCTATGGATCAGATACTTCCCAGTGCCATGCATGCTGCCATGTTTCCTGCCATGATGATAATGGACTAAACCTCTGAAACTGTAAGCAAGCTGCAATTAAATGCTTTCCTCTTACAAAAAATGCTGCAAAAAAATGCTTTGCCTTCATCATGGTGTCTTTTCATGATAAGATACCAGTCAATATGTAAGTTTCTCTACCCACTGTGCTATCTACCCAATGAAACCTCTTTACAAAACAAAACAAAACAAAAAAACAAACAAGGACAACACAACTTTTTGTCTCCTGGGTACCTCCATGGCCAAAGTAGAACTGCAGCCCTAGCAGTCATCCCCAGCAATGGAACCTATGTGACTTCTACCTCTCACTTAGCACCAGACACTTTCTCTAGATTCAGAGGAAAGTTAATTTACTTATCCAATTACCACCCATCCCCGGTGACTCTCTAAGCTGCACCCTAAATCAGCAACATCTCCCAGAGCAATCAAGAAAAGGGGTCCATGCTTACCATCAGAAAGGGACTGGAAACTCCCAGGTCTAGTTCTGCCTGAAGGAAAGGACACAGAAGGAAGATGCCAATAGTTCAAGTCAGACCACCCAAACTTGGCTGAAGACATGGGGCACATAGAGCCTCACTATACAATATGGAGAAACCGGCTTTAAAAAGCTTTTATTCCGGGATGGAGAGATGGCTCAGAGTTAAGAGCACTTAACTAACTAAGCACTTAACACTTCCAGAAGGCCAGGGTTTTATTCCAAGTACCCACATGGTGGCTCAGAAACATGTGTAACTCCAATTTGAAGGGTAGCAACACCTTCTTCTGGCTTCTGTGGCCAGCAGGCATGCAAATGGTGCACAGACATACATGCAGACAAAACACCATACAGAAAAACAAAATAAAAATCTTTTATTCAACTTTAGAAATCTGATGTCCTAGTAAAACAAGGGTCAGAGAGAAATATTTTAAGTATGGTAAAATATACATAACATAAAATTTACCACTTTCTTTTTCTGTTTGTTTTATAAAATGTAAAAATATGGAACACTTCACGAATTTGCATGTCATCCTTGTCCAGGGGCCATGCTAATTTCTCTGCAGCATTCCAATTTTATTGTCCAGGGGCCATGCTAATTTCTCTGCAGCATTCCAATTTTAGTACATGTGTTGCCGAAGCAAGCACAAAATCTGCCGCTTTCATCATCTTTAAGTAGAGAATTCATTAACATGAAGTACATTCATGCTGTCCTACAATGACTACCACCATTCAATTCCAGAACCTTTAGAATCCCTGAAACTCTCAGCCAGTGAGCAGTAGTAACTCTCCACTCCTCCACCCCAGCCTGGAGGAACCTGCCATTCTGCCTTCTGTCTCTCTGAGCTGTCTATCAACATGAGTGGGGTGATACAGTATTTGTTCTTTTGTGGTTTATTACACCCCTGTATAATTCCCTAAGGTCCATCCCTATTATAACATGTATCTTTCATTCCCATTTAAGTAACAGCCTATTGCATCTGTATTCCATGTTTTGCTTATCCTTCTAGCCCAAAATGGACATAAACACTTTTTGGCTATCGTGAATAATGCTTCTTCAAATATCAGCATACAAACTGCTCAAGTGCCTGCATTCGATTCTTTTGTTAAATACCTAGAAGTGACACTAGTTCACATGCTAATCCTGTGTTCAACTTTCTTAGAAATTGCCACACTAACTTCCACAGTGGCTGCACAACTACACATTCCCACCAGGGGCACACAAAGGCTCCCCAGAGGATGGCATAAAAGGCGAGGAGGACTACTGACCTAGGTAAATTTCTTCAGTACCTGACACAGGGCTGACAATTTCATTCGTGTTCTACAAATCCAGGCTAATGCCTGGGAATTTCTCGTTCCTCCCATTCCTGTACTAAGCTGCCTGCTCAAATGGGAATTCCATGGTCAATGAAAACGTCAGCCCAAGTATTTTCCAGATGAAAGCAGAGGACGTCCCTGTTCCTTACCCACCACTCTTTACCTTTAAAGAAGCTGCTCAGGGAATAGGTAGAAGTAGGTTTGGGTAGCTGTGTGTAGAAACTGTTTCGGCCCTTTAGCTGTTCACGCCCTTCAGGGGCTGACCCGCTAGTCCCAGCAGTCTCTTTGATGGACCATGAGATACCTGCAGGATGGTAGGAACTAAGTAAGCCTCACCCAGGTCCATCCTTGACACCCAACATTCAAAAAAAAAAAAAAAAAAAAAAGGCCCTGGTCCCCTGGCCAGCAGGAAGCCGGAAATGATATAATCAAGTAGGCTAATCATTAGAGAAATTGACAAAGGGATGAATAAATGGAAGGAGATCCAAACAGCCTTCAGATACATGGAAAGATTTCTGCCTCTCTTGTTTCTTGAGCAATTATTAAAGTAACTAATGTAACAGATCAGGTGTGTGTTGTGGCTTTTTTTTTTTTTTTTTTTTTTTTTTTTTTCTAGTTCCCTTTTTTTTTTTTTTTTTTTTTTTTTTTTTTATTTTGAGACAGGTAGCCCTGGCTGTCCTGGATCTTGCTTTGTAGACCAGGCTGCCCTCAAACTCAAGACATCTGGCTACCTCTACCTCTCAAGTGCTGAGATTCAAGGCATGCACCACCATGCCCAGCCAATCCCTTTCTTTGTTTTCTAAATCACACTTTATTACCCAAAGAGTCTATGAAGAAACTAAGTGGTATTATATAACTAAAACATGTTGGCTAAGAGCTGTAATTATGCCAACATGTTATGATTTAACAGCTCTTTTATTTAAGTTAACAGCTCCCAAATATGACCACATATGGCCTAGGAATCTGCAATGTTAATAAGCACCCGTGAATCTGAAGTAGTCATCCAAGCATTCACTCCAGGACAGCAGATCCAGAAAGCCACATATGCATCACTGTTGTGTTTCTCCACATTGCTCTGCCTGCCACTAACTTCCAGGCTGCATCATTGGAGAATATCAGAGCTATTTCTGACCAGCACCGAGGACAGAGAGAGGTACAGCCTTTATTACTGACAAGAAGCCCACAAGGGGCCTCTTCAGCTTACTTCCCACAGGTTCTCCGGTCCAGCTGACTCGCTCCAGGTCATCGTCATCATCGTCATCCACGAAGTCTCGAAGGCTATTCACTGCCCGTTTGGATTCCTTTAACTGTAGAGGGACATGAAGTAGTAGTCTGGCAGTCCTCACTTCCCTCCTGTCCCACTGATAACCAAGAAGGCTGAGCTACTGGGACTCAGTGATTGCCAATACCTATCTATAGTCTAAATCTCACCCAGAAATCAATTGGCATTGCAGTCAGTGGAATATTCAATGTCACTTTTGAATTCTAATGATATTTTAACTATGATTTGTTTGCAAATCTGGGTGAATTATTCACTTCTCCAAAACTGACTATTCCTAAACAGGTCATTTTTCAAAAACAAGTTATCAAGGTACAATGATGAGTGCCTCTAGTTCTAACTGTCAGGAAGACAAAAGCAGGAAGATGGCTTGAGCTCAAGAATTTGAGATTCCATCTCAAAAATAACAATGATATAAACTGGGTGTGGTGGTACATGACTATAACACCAGCACTCATGAGATGGAGGCAGCTGGAATAAGAGAAAAAAAATTTTCGGTTAAAAAACAAACAAACAAAAAAAATCTAGGCATGTGGATTTAGCAGCACACCTTTAATGCCATCACTCAAGAGACAAAGGCTGGTAGATCTCTGTGAGTTTTAGGTCAGCTAGGGTTATATGGCAAGACCCTGTGAAAAAAAGATGAAGTGATAAAAAGGAGAGAAACTGAAAAAAAAAACAGGAACCCAAAAAGATGCCTCAGCAGGTAAAGGCATTTGCCACCAAGCCTGATGATCTGAGTTCAATCCTCAGGACCCACATGGTAGAAAGAGAGAACAGAACAGGTTGCTATCCTCTGGCTTCAACACACCAACACACATAAATACATATCATAAAAATTCTTTAAAAACGAAAAAGGAGGGCTGGAGTGATGGCTCAGAGGTTAAGATCACTGACTGTTCTTCCAGGGGTCCTGAGTTCAATTCCCAGCAACCACATGGTGGCTCACAACCATCAGTTATAAGATCTGGTGCCCTCTTCTGGTGTGCAGATATACATGGAAGCAGAATGTTGTATATATAATAAATAAATAAATAAATAAAATATTTTTTTAAAAAAAATGAAAAAGGAGCCAGGTGGTGGCGCATGCCCTTAATCCCAGCCCTCGGGAGGTAGAGGCAGGTGGATCTCTGAGTTTGAGGTCAGCATGGTCTACAGAGTGAGTTCCAGGACAGCCCTGTCTCAAAAAAAAAAAAAAAAAAAAAAAAAAAAAGGGAAAAAGGAGACAGAGGAAGGAAGATCAGAAGTTCAAGGTCTTCATCAACTATCTATTAAGTTTTAAGCCAGCCTTGGGTACCAGAGACCCTGTTCCAAAGAAAGGAAAAAGAGATAGCAATAACAACAACAAACTATATCACATGAATAAAAGATGTGTGTGTGTTTTTAAGGTAATAGTAAGAAGGATAAAGTTAGCTTTTATAGTCTTTCCGGCTCCTTTTTAAAGGCTTCTCTCCATGAAGGTTGCTGTAGTTTGTATCTGTTTCAAATTTTAGTGTATGTGTACACATGTGTATCATGTGTATGTACAGGTGTGTCATTCCACTGCACAAGAAGGACAGGCAGTGCTGACTACTTTTATGTCAACTTGACACAAGTTAGCGGCACTTGGAAAGAGAGGGAACCTCAGTTGAGAAAATGCCCCCACCTGACTGGCCTGTGGCCAGTGCCCCACCTGACTGGCCTGTGGCCAGTGCCACCCCTGGGCTGGAGGTCCTGGGCGCTACAGGAAAGCAGGAGAAGCAAGCCGGTAAGCAGCCCTCCTCTGCTTCAGTCTCCGCCTCCAGGTCCCGGCCCTGACTTCCCTCAGTGATGGGGTGTGACCAGAGTTGTATGTTGAAATAAGCCATTTCCTCTTCAAGTTCCTTTTGATCAACTTTAAGGAGTTGGTTCTGGAGACTAAACTCAAGTCACCAGGTTTGTGGCAAGCATCTTTACTGGCTGAGCCATCACATAGGCTACTATATAGTTTGGATTTTGAAGATCCCCATAGTTTGATCTTCAGGGACACTCTATGAGGAGGCGGCAGAACCTGAGAAGTGGAGCTCAGTAGGAGACCCTTGGGCCAATGGAAGGGTGTTCACAAAGGGGATTGGGTCCCCACGCTGTCCTATTTCTGTTTGCTTTCTGGCCATAAGTTAAGCTGTTTTGTTCTATCATGTGATTGCACCACAATGTGCCGCCTATCCCAGGTCCAAAGCACAAAGCTAACCAACCGTAATCTAAAGCCTTGAAAACTGAGTCAAAATAAGGCTTTTTCTCTGGATCAGTTGATTATCTTGAGTGTTCACGGGAGGGGAAAAAGCTGACTAACACACTGAAGATCTACCTGACATTATGAGCCTACTAGAGATGAGGAGAGATTTCAGAGAGGCATCAGGAGTGAGGTATGACTTGTGGATACCTACCTGTGAGAGCTCATCATCTTCATCATCAAACGTGAAAGCCTTGAACTTGGAGCTGTTCCAATACTCCTCCTCATCACCCTTTGTCCGGTTCATCTGGAGGGAAAGGAAGATAGACATGGATCTCTTTCGGATCTCTCCAACGTGTGTTATACTACTAACCGCTCCCAGAAATAAGGGATGTATAAAAGAATCTTGTAGAGTCCGACTCGTCAGATCATATTACATGCTCCAATTAGACAAAAACATTCATTCCTAAAACACCTATTGTGTTATGAGAACTATAAAAAGTGCAGGACATCCTTCCTCCTAAAGGATCACATTAGAGCTAGGGTACCTAAGCAAAGGGGATGATACTGTAAGTGAGGCAAATGCTCTAAGGAGTTATCATCATTTTGCAGAACATAAAAAGATCAGCCGAGCCGGGTGGTGGTGGCACACGCCTTTGATCCTAGCACTCGGGAGGCAGAGGCAGGTGGATCTCTGTGAGTTCGAGACCAGCCTGGTCTACAAGAGCTAGTTCCAGGATAGCCTCCAAAGCCACAGAGAAACCCTGCCTCAAACAACCAAAGGGGGGGGGGAGATCATCCAAGTGAATTCATTTACTAACATATAATTACCAAGTACCAACTTTGGAAACTCTTCTAAGCTCTGGGAACACTATAGTTGGTAATAGCCAACAAATGTCCTTCTTTCCCTGTATGCTCTATATGTGCATATGTGCAACTAAAAGAATCAGAATTATCTTGCCTACATCATCAACTCATGATTATTTTGGCCAATTGTGGGGCAAATTTTTGGGAGCATGACCAAGGAAAGAAAATATATAAGATTAGCCAAGAGATCCCAAATTCTTCTCATAACTGCTCTAAAATTAGGTATTGTTCTGCAAAAACAAGATTTTTGAACTAAACTGGATAAGAGTGAAAACTGGTTTAACCCAATAACTAAACACCAAAATTTCCACCACACCTAATTCGCTACAGGGTCTGAATCAAAAGGTAAATGGCTCTGTTTCTAAGCCTTGCAGAACTACTATCTTGCCTTACTGGCTTATAGTAAAGAGTTAATAGTATTCAGAAAACCTAACAAAATGCCTAACAGAAAATAAACATTTAACCTTACAATCTTTTAGTTATCCAATACCTTACTGACATGTCTTATCTCCTGTAAAATGGGCATAAACAGGTAGCCTGCTTTATAAGAATGACTAAACTATCTGGGCAGTGGTGTCACAGACCTTTAATCTCAGCACTCAGGAGAGAGGCAGGTGGATCTCTGTGAGTTCAAGGCCAGCGTGGTCTACAGAGCAAGTGCCAGGACAGCCAAAGCTGTTACATGGAAAAACCCTGTCTCAAAAAAACCACCACCACCAACAACAAAAAAGAATGGCTAAACTAGAAAATTCATGCAAAGTGCTTACTGCTTGACAGAAAGTTAATGTGTGTCTATATTAGCTTTTATTATTTAATCTTAAATGGTACCTTAGATAAAACTAGAGACTTTTTATTTATTTATATTTTGGTGTTTGGTTTTGTTTTTCGAGACAGGGTTTCTCTGTGTAGCTCTGGCTGTACTAGAACTCGCTCCCTATGTAGACCTGGCTGGCCTTGAACTCAGAGATCTTTCTGCCTCTGCTTCCCTAGTGCTGGGATGACTTCCCAGCTAAAACTAGAGAAATTTATTTATTTTTTTGCAGTGGTAGGAATTGAACTTTGGGCCTCACACATTTTAGTCAAGCAATCTACCACTAAGCTAAATTCCTAGCCTAAAACAAAACATTTAAAAAGCAATCCTAAAAATTAAAAGAAATTCTAAGCCAGGCCACAAATATTGAAGGTGTGTTTAGAACATATACTTGTCTCTGGCCTGTGTGCAATTTCATAAATAACTGTCATTCTTTTGTTCTCAGAGCAATCCTAAAGGGTGGGCCAGGGGGATTTCCCACGGACCAGGAAAACAACTTTACTAATCACTTCGAGTCCAAGCTACAATCTAGGTTTTTCTGGCCCCTAGACTATTTCTACACCGCCTTTCATGGCCCTTCTACCTTTTCCTTTTATTTTCCACTTTTGGGAAAACTACAGCAGATCTTTACAGTGGTACTTACAAAGAAGCACAAATGTGCCTAACAAAACAATTACCCTACGAGAGAATTTCTAGGACCATTAACCAGACTACTGCAATGGATACTTTGTGTCAAACTGTACTTGTAGCAGCAAAAGAGACTGATTTACTTGGCAAGTAAAATGATAACCATTTATTAACTCTTAAGGCATAAAGCAATCCTGTACAATGTTCTCAGTGACAGACAAAAAGGGGTGCTTCGACGTTGATTTAAAATGCTTCTGAGGTTTGATCTTATCGTCACCTGTTCCTGAGAGCCCACGGGGGTAGGGCGACAGACCAGAGAGGTGAACAGGAAGATGACAAAAGAAAAACAAGACCCGTAAAAAGAAAAACAAAACAAAAACAAGAACAAAACCCCACAACAAAGGCGCTCCTGGCCTCGGGGAACTGTAGAAACCAGCTACTCGAAGCTAGGCTAGGTTTTCAAGGCGATGTTTAGGAACGGTGACCTGAGCTAGGCTACAAGAGGAACCTCCAGGAAGCCAGGCATCCACGGCAAACGCCAGAGCCTGGAGGGGACATGCTCATTCAGAACCAGACGCTGCGTTCTCAACTAGCTGCTGAGGCTCACTGGAAGCTCCAGCTTCGAGCGTACTGACTCCCAAGAATATTCCCGACCAGAAGAATCAGGTCGGGAGTGAGAATGTAAGGATGCCTCAGAGAAGACAGGGAAAGAGTAAGGGTGCGGAAAGGGTGGGTTCAACTAGACACGCGGCCCAGACACGGGCTTGGGACACCCTCACCTCTTCCACACCGAGCCCTCCCTCTCAGGACAGCGCCAGGCTCAGCCACCGGACCAGCCTTTCTAAACAGGCTGTACGACATAGAGAAGGGGCCGAAGGGGACGGTCGCGAGAGGGGATGAAGAGGGTGAAAGGAATAGCCGCAAGGCATCCTGGAAGCTGTAGTTCCTTGGTCTCTGTCATCCTTACGCTCTCCCTGTGGGCCGAGGGGCTTCTGCACTACTATTCCCAGAAACCTTTGCGCGTCGTGCTAGCTCATTTCCTTTCCTTTCAGCGTGACCTTCCGCAGTTAGCGGAAGGATCGTTTAGCAAGACTACAACTCCCATCAGGCTTAGCAGGATCGTTTTAGGTCCCGAGGAAACAATGAGACCAATATTTTGTGTCCCTACCGGTGAGGGTTGGTAGTTTGAGGGCTTAGACTTCAGAGATGTTTTAAGATAAACAAAGAGTTTGAAGGAACTCCAAAAGTTACAAAGCCTACTCTTTGGCGAGCCGGAACGGAAGTACCCGGTAGGAGCGAGGAGGAGCCGGAAGTTAAGGTGGGGAGGGGGTGGGGGTGGAGGGAAAAGCAAGCCAGGAGGTGCTACTGCCGCTTCTAGTAGTTTCCAGGCGCTGCCGGGCGGCTGGGACCGAGCGGTCCTGAGGCTGTGGCTGCGGCTGCTTGGGAGCTGGTAGCGGCGCGAAGTGTGAGCTGATGGCCAAGTGGGGTGAGGGAGACCCACGCTGGATCGTGGAGGAGCGGGCGGACGCCACCAACGTCAACAACTGGCACTGGTAAGGGCCAGCAAGACAGGCCGCAGGAGCACTGTTACCAGGCTAGGGTTTGGGGGTGCCTGGGACCTTGGCGTGTACGGATCTGGGGCCCGAGCAGCCCTGCCCTGGGGTTGGGCGTGGGTCCTTCCTGTAGCAGGGGTCTTCTCCATCCCTCGCCACCATCGCGGTGTTGGGGCCGAGGGGTCCGGCGTAGACCGCCGAGTCCCAAAGGAGGAATTTCAGAGCGATTAGAACAGAGCGCCTTAGTTGCTGCATCCCGGCTGAGCCCGGAGATACTTCCTACACGTGGCCGCAGGCGTCCTTGAGATCCAGAGCCTTGCCGATTGTGATGGGAGACTGCTGGGGAGGTCTCGAGCCCCAGCCGTGGTAGTTACTAATTTGTGGGTTACAGCGAGAGTAGAAGTCCTAGGGGACTGCTGCCTCAGTCCAGCGGGAGAAGCTTTGGAACGTGATCTGCAGGGCGCTTGGAGCTTCGGGATGCTGAGCGCGATGCAGCCTCTCACCCGGAACTGTTAAGTTCTGTTGTAACTCCAGGTTGCCGGGCAGTCATGATTTTACAGCCTAGCCGTTCTCAGAAGCTTTCCTTATCTTTATGAAATCGCGTAGAAGGCGGTGTTGTTGGGAGCGCAGCTGAACTTTACTCACCCTAATTTTTGTTTTACTCGGTTGCTGTTTCGTTTGCTTGCATCGCTTTCATAGAAGGGCAAAGAATTGGTTTTTCGCTCTCAATTTTCTCACCCTGTCTCCTCTTAACACAGTACTTGGACCGGATTTTTCTTGTGGACTTTTGTGACACTGCCTAGTGGGCATAGAATGTTTAGGGCATTGAAAGCAGTCTGAATAAGACGGGCCAGAACACTGCTGATGAGGGTAGCATTATTGGTTTTTGGTTTTGCCTTACTGTGGCTCTTAGCAAATTGCTTGCTGTCTTTTGCAATCCTGGCTTCAGCAGTAGGGTCACAGCTTTCCTGTTGGCCAGGTGGGGGCGCCGTGTTAATAATCAAGGATCATCCTACTAAGACCGGAAAGAACAACTTAAATGCTAGTTTGTATATAGCACCTGCCTTTGTCGACAACTCACCACCCGTTGGCTTCCCCAAAATGGCCTGTTTGTGGAGATGCTGGGGTAGAATTTAGAGGATTTGTTGTCGTTATTGTTCTTTTCTTCTTCCCTTAGCTTTGCATTTCCTTGCTGTGTGAAATTGTGCCCTCCCCTTGTCTGCTAGCCCTTAGCTTTACTTTCTGTCTTGCAGGACAGAAAGGGATGCCTCAAATTGGTCCACAGAAAAGCTGAAAACTCTATTCCTGGCAGTTCGAGTAGAAAATGAGGAGGGCAAATGTGAGGTGACGGAAGTGAACAAGCTTGATGGAGAGGCGTCCATTAACAACCGGAAAGGCAAACTGATCTTCTTTTATGAGTGGACCATCAAATTAAACTGGACAGGTAAGGGTCAGCCAGGCCGTAAGAGGCGAGGTTAGCTCCATTTCCGTTGCTCCTACACTTTCGGGAGAGGTTTTGAGCAGTGACAGACTTTTGAAGGGAGGGGACAGTGCTGCTTTGAGAAAGGCACTATTGGGTGCCACTGTGTGACACCAAATGCATTTATTTGCTCTCTGGGTTTCATTGGTCCCACCAGTGAAGTGTCAGGCCCTACATCTTTGGACTTCGTTCTGTGTTAGAATTCATAAAGTGATAGAGTCTCAGGCTAGTTTATTTGTCAAGGATCATCCTACTTTGTCAAGGATTCCATTTGTCTTATGAGTGATTTGAAGAGGGAGTGGCTGTTTGTTTTCTTTTAGCTTCAATCATTTTAACTCCAGCGCAAAATCTTAACATGTTAGACCACTGTACTATTGTAGTTGATAAGTAACTATTACTTGGGACTAGAATTTTGCCATCTTCTAATTTAGTCTCCTTTCTATAATATCCTTAGTAAAAAAAAAAAAGAAAAGAAAAAGAAAAAAAAAAGAAATGGGGCCATGTGGAATATTTTCCCAGTGAATAGTAAAGAGAATGAAAGTAGATAGATCTGTCTATGATTTTTGTTTTTTCAAAATATATCTAAAGTATTGTGGCCTGGAAGGACTGTATCTTGTCCAGTCTCCTTTTTATATAACATACTGAGAAACTGAGGCCCAGAGACGTAGAGTCATTTTTGTCATAGTTAATGTGTGTTCCTAAAAGTTAGTGCACTATGCAACAGTCATTCAGTAGGAAACCACAAAGTTTATAGAGAGGATAGGATTAGAAATACAGTACTTGATGGCCAGTGGTGGTGCACACCTTTAATCCCAGCACTTAGGAGGCAAAGGCAGTCGGATCTTAGAGTTTGAGATCAGCCTGGTCTATAGATCAAGTTCCAGGACAGCCAGGGCTACACGGAGAAATCCTGTCTTGAAAGAAAGAAAGGAAGGAAGAAAGAAAGAAAGGAAGGAAAGAAAGAGTAATCCAGTACCTGTCAGATGTCCATGATACATGCCTGTAGTCCTACCAGTTGGGAAGCTGAGGTAGGAAAAGGGGGAAAGAAATATACCATTCCAAAAAAAAATCATCAGTGGAACATTTTTAAATTAAATTAGGGTGGAGAGACTGGAGTTCAGTTCTGGGCACCCACATCCTGCAGTGCACAACCACCTATAACTCCAGCTTCAGAGGCATGTGGTGCCTCTGGCCTCTGAGGGCACTTGCATACAGGTGCACAGGCACCCACAGGCACACACAATTAAATATGGAAACTAGGAATTGATGCCAGAACTTTATGCACGTGATGAGTATGAAATGCACACACACTGTTAGGATTGAAATTCCCTTGTGTTCGTGGGCATCAGGGATTCCAGCTCGAGGGCTCTTGTGAGAGCGTGGAAGGGGGGTCTTCTAAGGCAGGATCATCACACCAGTGGTGCATTACCTGACGGATGATTTGAGATTTGAACTGTCGTTTATTTCTGTGCATCTCTTCATCTTCACCTGGCTCTAGTTTTCTGTGTTCACTTCTTGTTTCTCCATGATGAACTCACATAGAAGCAAGTATGATATTGCCGTAATCAAGTTGTTCCCGAACATATTAGTCATATTGGATAAATGCTTATGTCTAGAGCAGGTGTTGTTCTAACAGAACTGGTGCTAGTGGCCACCCAGACAGGCTCTGGGAGGATTGAGCTACTGCCTAATTTGTGTGGCTCCCAGTGCCTTGCTGTAAAAACCTAGTATATCTCTCCAGCAATGGTATGAGAAAAGGCATTGGGTGCTGTTGATTGCTTCTGGAATGTAGCATTCTCTGAGAATAGAGGGGCAGCTTAGAATGGGGGTTAAAAGAAGACTGAGTGGACGGTGTTTTGGCAGGACCTTCCTTGCAAAGGCAGAGGCTAATGGAATTGCATTGCTTTTGACAGGTACCTCTAAGTCAGGAGTGCAATACAAAGGACATGTGGAAATCCCCAATTTGTCTGATGAAAACAGTGTGGATGAAGTGGAGGTTTGTTTCCTAACTCCTTGTCTGAGTCTTCCCTGTCTGTAGTCTCAGATGAGAAAGGCGGTCCGCCCCTCGACGTTAATAGTCCAGGCCAAGCCCAGTCTGCAGATGAGTTTCTAGCTATGTGATGCCTTTGGAAACTTCCAGAGCAACTTGTATATACTCAGTATCTCTGCTTTAGCTGAGGAAATGGGTTGATGTCATCCATCTCTACCCTGGCAGAGAGAAGTTGAGAAGGACTATTGTTGGGGACTGCTCAAATGGGGCAGCTCTACACCTTCCCTTCAGAAATGTCCGCTGTTTGATTGCTCGGCCCCCACTTTTGTGATAGTGTCCCTTAAATCATTTATCGTCTACTTTTGATCTCTCACTCAGATTAGTGTGAGCCTTGCCAAAGATGAGCCTGACACAAATCTCGTGGCCTTAATGAAGGAAGAAGGGGTGAAACTTCTAAGAGAAGCAGTGGGGATTTACATCAGCACCCTCAAGACAGGTATCCCTTTAGAACTCTGTGCCTGAGGAGGCTGTCTTCCACCTGCAGACCCTGACTTGAGGGCCTGGACTGCCCTCCCCTGGCAGATGGGTAATGATGGGGGTTGGGGGTTGGGGGTGAAGTTGATCTGAAAGCTGTGAAGTAGAGGAAGATCTTGAGCTGTCTAATAGTGTTGGCTGTTAAGTTCTTGAAATGTGGCTAACCCGCCAGGCGTAGGTAGCGCACATCTTTAAACCCAGCACTTGGGTGGCAGAGGCAGGTGGATCTCATTGAGTTCGAGGCCAGCCTGGTCTACAAAGTAAGTTATAGGACAGCCAGGACTATTACACAGAGAAACCCTGTCTTGAAAAAAAAAAAAAAAAAAAAAAAGGAAGGAAGAAAGAAAAGTGGCTAACCCAATGAGATGTACTGGGA